TTCTCACAGGCGGATTCTTCGTGGTTGCGGAGTTTGGAACAGCAGGTCTTGGACCGTCTCCGCAAGGCGACAAATCTCTTTGAAGCTGTTGATTTATTGTGAAGATGTCAGAATTTCAGAGACATTTCAGAGACATTTGGACACGTCTGAGGATGCATATTTGCTTTCTACATTGAAGCGCAGCATGCACAAGGCGGGGACAAACCTGAGCTTCTCTAGGTGTGACATTCCAAGGTGACGAGGTCATCTCCGCACCTTTTTGTCGCTTGGATTTCAATCAGCTCAACGGATCTCAAGGACATGGAAGAGCAACTGCAGCTTGCTCGCAGAGAGCTGGAGGCCTGCACCCAGTTATGCCGGTCACAGATGGCGTTGAGTTTCATGTTTCTCACTTGCAAAGCGGAGAACGCGGAGAATGTTGGATTTGTCGTAATGATCGTAATGGGATCCACTTCTCTTTTGTACAAAAGCGTGTCAGGTCTTCTTTGCTAGAGAGCTGCGTGCTCTGCGAGACTCCACCGCCACCACTGTTGAGGCTGATCTCACCTTAAGGAATTGTAAAGACTAGGAGCCAAGTGCTAAGAATCAAGCTGAAGTTTCGGATGTTTCTCTGGCACCCAACTTGCAGGTGCAAGCAATTGCAGCGGAAATGGCCATGTGCTTAGTGTGCTTTGTGTTATCTTATAATAAATACTATAATATCTTATTAATAGTATAATTATAATAATACATGTGCTTATAATACATTATAACTTATATAACACTATTATAGCTTTGATGTTCAGAATGTTCAGAATTTGGGTGTCTTTTTGGGTCAACGTTTTAGTCGCTGAGAAAACGCTGCATCGGAGCAACGGCAGTGAGAACCTGGCTGAAGCTGTGGCCAAGCTCTGTGGAGAGTTGGATCACATCACCAAGGAGACCCTTTTGGAATGTGAGAGCCATGGGCCGGCGGCCATGATTGTCATTAATATTGTCATATAATACAACATATAGAAACAACATATCAAATCATATCAAATCATATCAAATCATATCAAATGATATCAAATCCAAATAGAAGAGAAACACAGAAACACACACATATTCATCAGAAAAGCATAGAACATGCATGCACCAGCTCCAGCTATACCTTTGGCACGCAAACCGTATGTTGGATGTGGATGTCCAGGAGGCGGTTACCCAGACCAGCCTTCAGGCTGACATGCCATAGCAACATGCAACATGTGGTTTGGGCACCCTGCGTTCGTTTCTGCAATTTGTCATTGGTCGTATCCTTGTCTCTTTCTTGTCTCTTTCTTGTCTCCTTGTCTGGGCTGTGGGCCTTGCTGCCAGGCGTCCATGCGAAGTCTTCGGGCAGAGGTGGAAGAGACCCTCCGGCCACTCGGCTGTGAGCACCCCTTCCCACTGAGACGTCGCAGTCCTCGCAGTCCTCGCAGTCCTCGCAGTCGCATTTCTTTTTCTCTGAGGAAAAACCAGGGACTCCCAGAAGATCGGATACGCAGAGACCAGCAGCTTGCAGCCCTTAGCTGAGGGTCAGGGATTTGTTGGCGTCCAGAGCTTTGAATTCTGTCTGACAAGGCCATGTTCGGTGGAAAAACTGGCCGACATTTCTTTGCAGTTCATGTTTCTTCATGTTTCCCGATGATTCGATTGTTATCGATTTCCAAGGATTTGCAGGACATTCAAGATCAAGTCAAGGAGTTGAAGTCGCAACAGGACCTGAACCCGACCTGCTCCCAAACGCACTTTGTAGCTCGATGTGTTGCCTGGCAATGGCGTCTATGATCTGTATCCATACCGTCTGTCATTAACAGGATCGGTGGGAAGTGAGTCACCGTCAGCGCGAAGAGGACTGCTGCGCGCTCAGATACTACTGTACAATTTTTCGAGATGTTTGAAACATTGTTTGGACAGGTTTGAAACATTTTGAAACATTGTAACACCATGCCGTCGCAGTGTTGGGTATAGACTGTGGATGACTGCGGGCTTTTCAGGTGCTCAGAACTTTGGCTTCTTGAAGGCTAGGCCTCGGATGATCTTGGATGGTGGTGCCTTCATTTCAGCGCCTCAAGAAAGAATCAACATGGAATAACTGAATAATTAACTATAATGACTATAATAGCTGCATGTATATTTGATACGCTTTGATTCATTCATTAAAGTCTATTTGACTATGGTCCTATGGTGCCTATGGTGCCTATGGTGCCTATGGTGCCTATGCTTTGATTCCATTTTGGGAGACTGTTCCATCCACCAGGAAGAATTGGAGCAACATCGACAACAGATGAAGAACGATAAGCAGATCTACCGGCAGGATCTGAAGAAGGGCCTCTCCAGCATCAACGACAAAGTTGAGGCCAAACTCCAAAAAGTTTCGCCTGGACCAGTCATATCCAGTCATTACGAGTGCAGATTTTACATGATTTTACTCTTTGTGCTGGTTGTGTGTCATCAAGATGTCCAAAGAGACGCAGGCTTTGCGCTTTGACCTGGATGCAGCGAACGAGAAGTTGAGCCGCTCCGCTGAATTTGTTGAGTGCTTCCAGGTGCGTTCACAAGAATGACAGAGATCCGACAGAGTGGTGACACTATACTCACTATACTCACTATACTTCCTTATTTATCACCGCAGGGACCAAGTGGTGCTGGCTCCGTACAAAGTTGACTCTGAGGCAAGTCGCCTGGCGAGGACACGAAACTTCCCCATGCCTTCAGACACGAGTTGGCTGTTCTCAGCAATGACCTGGCTGAGCTGAAAAGACAGGCGACCCAAACCTGATAGCTACTTCCTATAGAATTTTGGCGTTTTGCCGATGGAGAAATGATGTCAACGGTTCACTATGGTTCACTGCCAAGGGAGTTGAGGTGTGCAGCGCGCTAAAGTTGTCACAAAGGTCAGAAGGACAGCTGGATGTGTGTTTTCCACAGGTAAAGCAACAATCCTTGGACCTTCTGAAGAGAAGAGATGACAAAGACGACCTGGTCGAGTCGCAGATCTCAGTGATCTCAGTGATCTCAGCGCAGCTTTCACCCGAACTCGCAGAACTTTCAATGTCTGGATCTGAGGGGTGCACTGGGCCTGCGCTTGGCCAACATCGAGGAACAGGCTATGAGCTGACAGGACAGTCCCATAATCACCACATCCACCCACCATTTGGGGTCTATTGTTGGATACAATAAATCTCAATAAATCATGATCATCATGATCATCATGATCATCATGATCCAGCATCTTCCGCCACGATTCGTTGTTTGAGATGCCAGGTGTTGACTATAAAGCCCCAGCTGACACAGATCTCTCAACTGAGGCCCTGGAGATTGAGAAAAAACTCAGTGGTTTGATGAGTGGCAACCAAAATGATCAAAGCAGAAACATATGCTGAATGTGGACTTCATATGTATAGTCTAGTCGTAAATCTGTTTTGCATTTTACACCTCGACGAAGAAAAACGCAATCCTGAATTTGCTCGATTTGTCTTAGCAGCATGAAAGTCACGGGCAGGGAACACGTTGTGAAGCTCTCGAACACTTGGCAACTGCAGGGCGAGGCAAATGCTGAAGTACCACAAAGTGCATGGTGTGCTCACATGTGCTCACATTCTCAATGAAGTCATTTCTCCGGATCAGATCTGTTTGATCTGTTTGCGTGCTTACATCGGCTTACATCGGCTTACATCGCTTCTGAATGCTTCTCACATTTGGAAAGCTTCCGGAGGCTTCATCCATTGCACAGCGAGTCGCGCAGCTGGAAGGCAACATCTCTAAACTGTGATGTCGAACAGTGACACAGATGCCAAGTCAGATGCCTCTTACACTGGAAGGCTCTATGTTGGAGTTGCAAAGCAGTCGGCGCCGAACTAGCCCCTCACCAACACGGAAGGAGCAACATCTTGGAAGGGAATAGGCATCTGAAATCATCTGAATGTGAATGATAGACACTGTTCACATTTTTTCATCAGGAAGATAGTGCCAATCCAGACCTATCTAAATCACTCTAAATCCTCCAGCGACAACCCGGTCCTTTCAGATGTTCACCATGTCTTTTTCGATATTTTTTGATAGAGGTTGGAGACAAATGGGTTTAGGAGGAGCCGTCTGAGTCGCTGTGGGCCAAGCAGATGGCTGCCCTGTCCGTGCAGCAGGCCGCCAGGGTGTTTGGACACAGAGATTTCATGAGATTCAAAGCATAGAAACATATAGAAACATATAGAAACTATTAGAAACTAAGATAGCTATCTTGATCCTGTTTTAATCTGTTATGTAAAAGCCCACTAAGTCATACTAAGTCAATATCAGAACCATGGCGAACACGACCGCTTCCGCACCAATGCCAGGATCAGTACTGTGAGCAGCTGGCCATCGTGGAGGCGAGGTCTCACTGTCTCGTCTTGTGGTTTCGTATGTTTCGTCCGGTTCTTGGGGACAAAATTTGCTCAAACCAAAGTCACTCCACTCCAAACATGCATCGAAACTCATAGAAATGCCGCTTTCACATGCTTTCACTTCGAATTCGCGAAGCAAATCAAGGAAATACCCGCAACAGCGGCAATTTAGAAATTGCCAAATGCGAAGCCTCTGTCAGGACAAGGTGACGAACCTATGGCAGTTGACGCCACGTATTTGTGAGCTGGAGCATCAGCAGAAGGTCCGAGAAATTCGGAGAGATTAAACGTCACTGAACAGATCATATGTTTTAGGATGTTTAAAGTTAAGAAACATATTCCATGTGTGTGTGGCGTGCCAGTGCCGGGCATTCCATGCTTGCTTCAGGACTTTTGGCGACTTCAGGACCCAAATGGAGGTTATGCTAAGTGAACCTTTGAACTTGGTGAATGCAACAGCACAACAGATCCAGCAGGAGCAGTTGAAAAGCCTCTCCTTGAATATCGACCGCCTGAATGCAGCTCCAATGGCATCAGCACCCAGTAGGGAACGCAGGGAACCCAGGTGAAGTGAGGCGTTCCTCCAGGAGATATTTGGAACGAATGTTCTTTACTTTGTTTACTATGTTTACTATGCTATTCTAATGCTTTTCTAAATTTCCATCTATTTCCATCATTTTCCATCTATGAAAAACGCTTTGCTTTGCCAAGATCTCCTGCTGCAGCTGTCGGAGCAGCGGCAGGCGACTGGTTCCGGTGGTGATGCACACTGAGTCGACACTGATAGCAGTGACTGGCTACCAGTGGAGTTACCAGTGAGGTCACTGAACGTCGCATCGAGCAGCTGAAAGGAGAGTTGCTGCAGCCCATGCCTTAGACACCATGGGACACCGAGACCGATCTCAGCCTGGGAGGCTTTGCCAAGACTTCATGAAAGAAAGCAGCAAAGCCGTCATTGAAGTAAATTGAAGTAAGGTACACCACGTCTGTCGCAGATGTTCGCGACGAGATGCGCAGAATGATCGGCCAGCAGAATCTTGGGCTGTTGATCCAGAGCGTCCGAAACAACCTAGCCAAAGAAAAACGTGGATTCAGACTGTATTCATTTTATTTGATAGTCATTTTATGTAATTTTGTTTTATTTTCATCTGCTCTTCCGATGATGTTTACAGAAAAAGAGCTTTGCGGCAGCTCAGGGGCGAACACTTCCTAAAGCTTACCGGGGAGAACTACTCAGGCCGGCTCTTCAAAATCATGCGCTATCCCATGTATCGCATGCTATCGTGATATCATCGTTGCACAGTACTGCACATTCTTCGACCGTTGCAAATCGAAGTGCTTGGAAGACTTGTCTTGCAATTGCGACACCACCGAGAGGTTTTCTCGATAGATTGGCAGGCTTGGAGAGGCAAGGATTTGCTTCCACCCCATTTGAGCACTTTGTTCAAAGCAAGCGAGAAAATGAGCAACGGTTCCTGGTCTGAAAATGTTTGGAACACTTCCATGGGTTGCATTGCATTGCAGGCAACTGCACGAACGTGCACCTGAGAGTCAAATGCTCAGATTGAGACAGGAGTGTCCCGAGTGATACTTCATGAAATCACTTAAATGATCTTAAGATTCTTAGGTCAATGTTATCACAGGTTTCTTCGGTCGATCCACTTTTGCCAACTGTTGCAAGGCCAAAAGCTGAAGTCGTTGATGGAGGAAACGACGTTGAACTTGGAAAGACGCTTGAACTCTTTTGAGCGGCAGCTCAAAGAAGGTTCGGTTACCAGCGCTGCGCATTTTGAACTTTTAGTCTCCTGTTCCCTCCTGTTCCCCCGATTTATACAGCACGTCTTTCGCTTTGCGCTGATGGAGCGATGCTTCCCTTAGGTCAGACGCGTGCCATGGACACACGCTTTGAACATCTCGATGGGATTCGAAGGTACCACTTGCGTCGCTGAGTAGTCTGTGGAAACGTTAAACCTGTGCGTTTCAAGATACAGAATCTGTAGATGAACAGTTGGAATGCATTATGTACATTTATGTACTATGATTACATATGATTACTATGTTATCTGGTTCATTTTGTTCATTTTGTTCATATTGATTTTCAGTATCTGAATATTTTGCCTGATTTTGCCTGGTTCAGTATTTGCTGTATCTCCAGGCCGTTGGAATCGCGGCTGAGCACTCTGGAGCTCCAGCTGCGGGAAGCCCGGGAGACCGAGTCGCCAGGGGCTCAGCGACAGCGACCGTGTCGGACCCGGTCGGACCTGGTCGGACCCGGTCGGACCTGCGAAGGCCGTCTCCGGAGCCGCGCCTGGCCTCGATGGAACGCAAGCTGCGGGAGGGACAGGACAGACCTCTTCCGACATCCGACCGAATGCCACAGAATGCCACAGAATGCCACAGAAGGACAGCTTGATATGTCAGTGATAGCGACATGCAATGACAGGCAGACGTATTGCATGTATGGATGAACAAAGCAGAGACATCAGAGACATTCTAAAAAAAAACAGATTTTTTGACACCTCTTTCTGACAGGAAGAGCATGCCAGGCAGCTGCGTGGCTTTGAGGAGTGAATGCTGAGTCAATCCGTGCTCGGAATGCTCCATGGAATGACAGCGAAAGCTAGGAAGCAAAGATCATAATACGATATGTATCGATATGTTGTCATAATAGGAAAGCTCGGAGTATTGAGATCCTGTCCCCTCCATTTTGACGGTGAAGGAGCGCTGTGAGCTCTTAGAGACAGCGATGTCTCGTGTATCTGGTGCACTTCCGCGTCTCTCCAGTGACATCATGCGTGACTTGTCTCATGGAGTTCCATGAGGATGCCAGTGTCTGACTTTGTTTCATTGGGTCCTATTTTTCTAAACATGTAGGAATGAGCGTTTGGCAACGTATTTGCCATGAAAGTGCAACTGATTAATGCTAGCCCCGACGATAGAGAAGCTGAAGCGCGATGTAATTTCGGAGATCAACCAAGAGATTGGTTCGGGTCGGACATAATTGATGCATTCCATTCAACATATTTAACCAAACCTGCCCTGTGAAACTTTAAATGTGTTTTTTTTGTTTCTTTTTTTCAAAACATTTTCTTACTGTTGAGATCTGTTGAGTACCATCACGTCAGGGTGTAACAACTGTTTCGGCAATTTTACAATCTTGAGTTAGCGCACCAATGATGAAGGAACCAACCATCACGCCATGTTGATGGGGCTAACATCACTGCACCCAGCCCAACAACCGTCGTAGCCCAGTATCATAATTGACAGCCATTCCAATGCAGCATCACGGCGGTCTGATTAAGCTAGTGTATATATTTTTTTGTCCATTTCAATGTCACTTCGTCTTGACAGTATTTGGCATCACACCGCAAAAGCCTTGTGAGATAATATTTCGCAGTCATTGATTGTGCCAGTCTGATGGTCGCATGCAGCTTGTTGATGCCAGATGGAATCAAATCGCTGATAAATCATGTTTGTCAGATTGGAACAAACCACAACAAACAAACATGTACACTTGATGAACATAAACCACTTTGTGAGTCCCTGGTGCTGTGGCATCTTGCGACCAGGCGACTGGGAGGCCTTGGCCAACGAACGCTTCGCAGAGGCAAAAGTCACCCAGGATGGGAGAGAAACCACTGTCGGACCCATGATCCAATACAACGGAATCCAAACATCCAGCAACTTCCTCACCCATTCTGACTTATTCAGCAGACTTATTCAGTGCCCATGTGAAACTCATTGAAACTCATTGAAGCTCATTGAAACTCAACGTACCAAGCCGCCTTTCTGCTCGTTCCTGGAGGAGCTCCAACGTGTGGCACAACGGATGGAGACACTGCCCGAATCAATGGAGCGATGTGAACAGGACCACAGAACAATGCCTGGTACATCCTGGTACATCCTGGTACATCCTGGTACATCCTGGTACATTGGTACATCCGTTCTACACTTCTACATCTATACGTATTAAATTATGTTAATCATTAATCTACTATATTAAACACTGTACAGATACCAGGCATAACATGACATGACATAATATGACATTGGGCAATGTGGCAGGTTCAGTTTGGGAGTGCTTTGAGACATTCCATCCTCACATTGATAAAGACGCATCGCATGTGGTGATTCAACAAAGCCCGCATCGTGGTAGTGATTCTAGGAGCTCGCATTGTACCGAACACGCCTTGACTCCTTACCAGAGGCAAGGACGTGATCCAATTTGATCTAATTTCTAGAACAGCAGCGATGTGTTTTTTCCATGTTTTTCCAGAAGCCTTTTCTTTGCAGGTTGCCACAGCTCAGCAGCTGCAGCGCTTGAACGAGGCAAAGTTAATTCAAAGTTTGGTACCAGTTTCGCACCAAACAAACATGAAGAATAGATGATGATGAGAGGAAAACGGGGAATACTGTAGAAGGATTGCTAATAAACGGACAGAAGGAGAGAATCGAAACCCTGGGAGGAAAGGTTGAGTTTGCAAACAAATAAGAGCAGTAAATCATAAAATGCCTTGTTTTCTTCATCGGCAGTATGAATTCCAATGCCTCGAAGAATTGATGCTCGCCTTTTGAGGACTTGGGCGCACTCAAAACGCGCTTGGCTTGTCTGCCCGACAGAGGCTGGCAGTGGGGATCAGGAGCACTTCGAAAAAAACAAAGCAATGTGACTGTGCATTAGTTCCATTTAATTTATTTCCACTATTTCAACATATTTCAACATCGATAACTCGATATCTCCGTTCAACTTTCCGCGTGAGGGTTCCTGGGACGTCCCAGGTGCTGAAAGACTCTGCTCCCTGGAGGTGCCCCAACATTTCCCGTTGCGACTCGGCCTCTCGGCCTTTCGGCCTTTCCACCGATTGATCCGATTGCCACAGGAGGCGATGAAAAGCATCTCGTGGGAGCTGAGTCTTGGCTGCCATGCTTTCTAGACATAGACATAGCAGAGCAATGCAGAGCATGAGAAAAACATTTTTCACATATCTTTTCAAACTACGATGCCTGGCATGTGTTTCGAGTTTGAATGTCCAATCTCTCATCCCAAACCGAGAGTTGAGGAAAGAATTGGCAACGCAGTTCGGCAACGTTGCTCAGATGCAGTCGCAGATGCAGAATTTGGATGGCAGCTTTGTCCGCATTGGAGTCAGGCCTTGCCTGCGCCTTGTCTTTCTCCGGCTTTCCATCGCCCAAGTGTCCATGGTGTCCATGCCTGGTGCGTGTTTAAGCCACCTGTTCAGAGGTCAGATGGAGATTGTCACTGGGCTCATTCATCGTATGGAGCCTTTGCCGCAAACGAGAGGAGAAAGCGCATCTCGCAGATCTGCGATCGTGTGCTACTGACAATTTACTGACTATCAATGCATCATAGTGACTTAGTGATTAGTGACATACTGCCACATTTGCTGGATGTCATACCATGAAATCCTCAAGTCTTGGCATTTTCTGATATTTTCTGCATTTTCTGCCTCGTCTTAGGATGCCATGGGGCGCTTTCTTCAGCATATCCAGGACGGCATGCGTTGTGAGACCTGAGATCGGGCACAAAGTCGCTTGGCCCAGATTGGAACAATGTTACAATGTTCGCAAATGTAAGTTCTTTCAGGTAAAGCTGGAATAATTGTGCTTGACTTTAATCCGTTTGAATCCGTTTGATCCATATGTCGCCTTTGTTCACAATATGTCCCAAACAATGTGGCAACAGCTGACCAATTGATTCATCTTCCAGTGGTTCAGTCTGTCAGCTTCACCTGATTGAGCCGGAAAACCTGGCATTTCTGCGTTGAAACGCAGCTCTCGGACGGAGGGAAGCGGACCTGCACTTCCAATACTTCATCTTAAAACACCTATAGCAATGCCATACGGGTCCCTGAAGACTTGGTTTTTGGATGTTTTTGGTTCTTTGAGAAAGCAAATCTCTTCCCTTCAGCAAATGCCCAAGTGTCAATGCCTACGATGTTCCACTGCATGCAAAGTTTCGTGCGGTCCACACTGCACTCACATGCACTCACCATAGTCATGAAAAGGTGGACACGTCGTGATTCCATGTCATGCCTGATGCCCTGTGCGACTTGAGAAATTGCAGGGCCAAGACTCGACTGTCACTTGCCACTCCATTCATTCTTTGGTGTTGAGAAGTGGTTCCAAGATGTTTCAAGTCGTGCGCTACATTGAGACACAATTGCGTTTGGTAGCTTTTGCAATCAAGCTTCTGTCCAATACTACCCAGGGTTATATTGATCTCCAGTTGCGGCATCATGCGGCATGACACACACATACACACACACACCCACACACACAAAGGCTTCGTTTCATAGCTATGACTCGGCCATGAAACTAAGAACCTCACCGAACAGATCGCGTTCGTGTGACGACATGTTTTCAGTGTCTGTTCATGGCGCCAACTCTGCATTTGGGGATCGGTGAATATCGGTGAATATCGGTGAACCATGAAATCTGTAGGGGTGTAGCATATTGGGTGTAGCATATTCCACGATTCCACGACGTCAGTTGAGTTTCAGCCATGCCTCATGGCGCTGAAGCCTCGGTTGTGGGCAGCTTGTGTGCTGCTTCCGGCACCCAGCGAGCGGCAGGCCCTTGAAGATTCATCATGATTCATCATTCCTCGTGTTTCAATATGTTTCAATGTACATGGATCTTCGTGGTGGGTCATGGTTGGTACATGGTTTAGCATCAAGATTGGGAGAAACCGATCCAAGGGGATGACGGTGTTAGAATCCGTTTCCAGGAGATTCGTTGCGTCGCCTGCAGCAGCAACTGCCGCTTTTTGGCAGTGGCATGCCGTTCGGGCCAGGCCAAAATGGCCAAAATGTGAAGTTTTGCAAGTTTGGAAAATCTTCACATCCCTTTCTGTGACTAGGACAACTCCCTTACCCGCCTTACCCGCCTTACCCCAAACGCTCAAAAGAGCGAGCTTCACATCCACGTCTTCAAGTCTTGCAGCTGGTCTTGTGCAAGTTTTCTGACTGCGACAGGTTTACCTCTTCCACTGCGACAAGGGTCAGCTGAAGCCCCTGGCGCTGTCAGTAGGAGGCGATAGATTCAGACGAAGCTTTTTTCATAAAGCCTGGACATCATTGGACATGGAAGACAGTTACTGTAGAATCTGTAGAAAAGATGTTGAAACATGTCGCATAATGTTCGGAACTGCTGCTTGATGGTTTGCAGGTTGGTTGGGACCAGACGAAGTCCATGCCTTGGGCTTCTGCAAAGCACCCAGTGGATTAAAGGCGCCGTGCGTGGGAGTGTGAAAGAATGTGAAAGATCCTGATGTGGTGATGTGGTGATGAAGATACTGTATCTATCTGTATCTTCATTATTCTTCATGTACCTTCGCGACCTTCCCTATTCGCCACCTGGCATCAGGTTTCTGTGCTTTCTTTTGAAGCCAGGCAACAGCTGGATGTGAGGATTTGTTGGTGCTACTGGCAAGCCGCCTCAGGCATGAGCCTGAGAGGAAAGCGCAGATGTTGGCTTTAATGACATTGTGACATTGAACATATTGATTCGCATTGAACAATTGAACTTTATCTTCTTGTGTGAGTGGTTCTCACCGGTGAGTGCAGCGCAGCGACGCACACGCACACGGAGCGGCACAGCAGCGGATCGGCGCGAAGCAGTCAACGGACACACATTGCACCCACGCTACTTATGCTATTTGAAGCTCGCAAGGATGTCGGTTTGGTGCCTTCACTGAGAAACGATCCTGCGATGATTTTATGATATTTTATAATATTTTATGATATTTTATGCCTTCTTTCGCAGTGAATTTGCCACTGAAATCTGTTGCAGTCTGTTGCAGGCTCCTAGATGTAAAAGATGGTCGCTGCATTGCTACGCTGCCATCACAGGCTGGACAGTGTGATACAGTGTGTCTGTGCAGCTCCGGTTGGCTTGCCGGCTTGTCTACTTTCAGTTGTCTTGCTTCGATATCTTCGACCTACTTTACAGCATTTTACAGCATTTAACAGCAATCCTTTTGACACGCGTTGACACGTGCTAAATGTCAATGTTGAATTTCCATTCCAGCACTGTGTATGTCAGGCAGAGGCTCGTTTGATGGTGGTCCTCGAGGAGATCTGCAAAACTGTCCAATACTGTGGATATGCTGTCGACTTCTCGGTAGACTGGACATAGTGCATGTGTCACACTATTGTCACACTATGTCACACTATGTCACACTATGTCACACTATGTCACACTATGTCACATTGAAGACCCCTTATCCATCCTTATCCAATTTATCCACTTCCAGCATCTTCCAGCAACATACTACAACTATGACATCCATCCCTCCACTGATTTCCAGGATGGACGTCATGCTGTGTTGGGTGGTGATCAGCTGTGGTTGATCGATTTGTGGCGGCCGTGGCCTGAAGAGCAAGAAGCACCGATCTTTCTTTTTGATTCATATTGATTCATGGTTGCTCCTGTAGGTCAGTGTTGCACTCTCTCCACTGCTACAGATCATTATATCAAACTATATATCAATTTATATCATACAGATTCATACAGATCGTTTTTTGATTTTTTTGGAGTGTGGAATCACGAGTTTTAATTTGGATTTCTGATTGTGAAATTTCTCCGGTCCAGGTCCAGTCAGCAGCAATCTCTTGGCGGCCGCTGCGAACGCTTGGCCAAGACGCTTAGAACGGCAATGCACCGCGGGCCCCGCGGGCAGGCCCTGAGCACCTTTCGACTGAGGCAGCACCTTCAGCGCCTTCAGCACCTTCAGCACCTTCCTCTGGTCAAGGCACACTTTGATCATCTTTGACCATCTTTGATCCGGAGTCTTTGGCGCTTGCCTTGCGCATCCTTGCGCTTTGCCTTTGTCATCGTCAGGACTACGTTTTGCTACACAAGACCGGGAATTGAAACTTTGGTCCGGTCTCAGAGTTATCATCATCTCACAGAGAGGCCCAAACAGACCAGAGATACCAGGAATTACCAGGAGGAGATTTAGCAATTTCTCAGTTTGTGTGTGGCTGTGCAACAGAATTTTGTGAAGCACTTGTGCATGTACCCCTGCCATTGTGTGGAGTCTTGTTGTACTGCTTGTACTATGCTTATCACTTGCTGTTCCCCGGTCACCCATGTGCCATTGAGAGTTCCAAGGTTGGGTGATCGCTTAGCTGGCTCCAAGGCACATGTTTCTAATTGTTTTTAAATTCTATTGAATCCATTTGAATCCTTGATTCCCCAGGAGTTTCAGGCATGTCGCAGAAGCATGTAGAAGCCCAGTTCCACACCAAGCCTGCAATGAGACAATGAGTTTTTACATTGGAACGTGAGTTTTATTGTACAACCTAGAGCAGGGTCCGACGGCTCCTTCGTACACCTACAACTTTTCATCGCGGGGACCGAGTGCCGATCTTACAGCTGCAACAGGATCTTGATTGTTTGTAGTTATTGTCACGCGTCCACAAATCCATTAACACATCACAAATCCATTCTTATCATTCTTGTTTTGCCTATTTTGCTTGCTTAAATTCCGGTTTGCTTCGCTCCATGGGAACATGGCTTTTTTGCTGCGGCTTAGTAGCCGGGGCCTCAAGGCCATGACATATTTCGTTTTGACAGTTCGCATGTCGCAGTCTTTCGTGCTCAGTTCAAAGCTCAGCAGTGGCTCTGGCCTTTGAGGACACTGTGAAGGGATGGGGCTGAGACATGGTGACAGGATTTGCTGAGCAGCAAAAAATCAGCAAATACAAAGCGATACAAAGTGATTGGAATCAGTCCAGCCGTAAAAACTCGGCCTCTGGCTCTCGCAGGATGACTTAGTGGTGCTTGTGGCCTGGCAATTGCTGTGAGGTACAGATTGCCCCTGAAACGGAGTTTTCTATTATTTTGATCATGGGATTTCAATCTGAAGCTTGTGGCACGGCAGTTGTTTCACATGTTTTTTTTGGTTGGATCATTTGTATTCTTGTATCACACTTGGCTGCTGACAAGGATCGTCACTTTGGCACAATCAAAATATATCAACATATATCAAAATACCAAAGTGACGATGACACATTAGAAGATCCCTTCCATCTTGGCATCTTGGTACATCTTTTTCGGCAAAGGTCTTGCAAGACCGGCTGCTTTTCTGGACCCTGGGGCAGTCCGTGGAGTTCGGGCCGGTGCAGGCCACACCGTTGTACACCGTTGTACACCCATAGTTTGCTATTCATAAATGTTTATGAAGTGACATAGGATGAACTGACCCAGATAAATATGATAAATGATGTGTATGATGGATGAAGGTTTTATATTATATTTTTATATTGTTTCATGTTTCATGTGATGTCAGATCGATGTTTTTCAATGTCTGCGATGCCTCCGTGAGATCTCTCGTGCCTACGGTGAACCTTTGGGAAACCTGGCTGGTGGCACCTTGGTGCGTTCGGCTTCGACTACCTCGACGATGCACAGAGAGTACAGAGAGTCAACCAGAATGCGTTGCTTGGATCCACAGCAGAAAACAATCAACTTAAAATTAATTAAACATATTCTAAATATCTGAAACATCGAGCTGTCGGAAAACATGGACAACTTTGTTTGGAGATGTTTGGAGTGGTTTCTACAGTCGACAAGCACTGACGTTCAAGTGATCTGAGGCTTGTGTCCAGAGCTGTCAAGCCTTGAAGCTGGAGGTCACTGTCACAACATGTCACAACATGTCACTCACAACATGTCACAACATGTCACAACATGTTAGACATGTCAGACTGGCTGGCATGGAATCTGCGCTGCATTTTTCTTTGCACTCAGCCACTCAGGTTCAGAGCCTAGACTTCTACTCTGGAGCACCACCGGTCAAGTGTCACTCTGACATAACTTGGAGAGAATCGGATTTCGCTGGAAAAAAACACGGCCAGCGGATGACAGCGATTTCATGAGATGGCCAGGCTGCAGTGTCTGGTGCAAACAGAAGAGGTGGTGGTCTTGGGCCACCTTCCCATGGTTTGAGCCTCAATACGCAGAGCTCATATGATCTTACTCTTGTTGTTATTCTTACTGTTATTGTTACATAATTATCGATTGTGATTATCATCATCATTAGTACTTTTCATACCATACAATCAATCTATTGAATCTATTGCAAAGGATGTTTTGACATTTTTGACATTCTCTTGACGTTCTGTGATGTCAAAAATGTCCATGAGATCCAGGGATTATCAGTTGCCCAAAGTGCCCTCAGTTGTGCTCAGCCCGTCCCCCCTCTCCGTCGGGGAACAAATGAACAAATTGAACAAATCGAGATGTGAGCTGCACATACTGCACATAGTTCCACCACATGATCAGCAACTACATTGCCTGCGGGTATCAAAGCTGCAACCAACCCGTGAGAGAAACGGCACACTTTTTAGCAATGAAACTCGGAGATGACACGCTGTTTACCTTCCACGGTGCTAAACGATTTGAGAGCAAGAAGGACCACTCACAACTCTGCCAAAGTGGCGCCTCGTAGCCTGTTGCTATGTGCGGTGGGGCAGCATGCAGATTTGGTGGGTGCAGGAGCATTCCATTCATTCCATTGGTCCAAATGCAGTCAAGAAGTCAGAGAATAACACTGAAACATCCTAATATAATGGTTTTTCAGTGTACCCAAATTTTATTTAAATATGGTACATGAATGTACATGATATTCACGTCGCTTCGCGACGGCAACCGCCCGCACCGCATCGTTGGGCTCACACAGCAGAGATATATCTATATATATAAAGATCATATATGTACATATCGAGTGAACGGTCCACACTGTTAATGATGTCAGCCATTGTTCTCTTCTACTGCCATTGTTCTCTTCTATTGCCGTCGCTCCGCGACAAGAACCCCTGTGCGGCCGCCACGGTTTGAACGATGTTGTTCTCACACCTTCGCGACCGCTCGTAACTGCCAATGATGTCGGCCATTGAGACCAAAAACATCCGAAAGTACTGATTGTCGGAAAAAAAACGCGAAGAATTTGATAGCCATGTATAGCGGACCAACGCAGTTCAAAAAATAACGAAAAACATGAAAAAACGGCGAAATTGCTGTTATTTACAGTGTTTTTGCGCGGTGAGAAGCAGAAACCACTGCAAATACCATGGTTTTTGAGGGTCAGGTGGCCAAAAACACTGTAATTTACAGTGTTTTTTTAACCAACGTCAAAAAACACTGGTATTTACGATGTTTTCATTCACACCGTAACATAAAACAGCGTAATTTACGAGGTTTTTGGAAGTTTTGAAGCTAGCCGTCAAGCATGCAGAAAACAGAAAAACACTGTAAAAACCAGTGTTTCTGCTATCACAAAACGACGAAAATCAGTCCGAAAACGGGTCCAAAAACTCAAAAATCCGCCTCCGGGCCAGGTCACCTGCGGAACCGCAAAAAAAGATGTTGCAAACCAAAAAATTGAGGTCAAAAAGTTGAAAAACACGGGGTTTTTTCACTTTCCGCTTGCCGATTTTGGACGGGCGCGTTCACGAACAGGTGTCTTCCGTACTGTTTTTTACAGTGTTTTTTGAAGGCGAGCGTCACGACCTATCAAAAACAGGAGGTTTTGGCCGAATAATGGCCCCCCCCCCAGGTAAACCTGTAACCTTTTACGAGTGCCATCCGGACGATCACGCCCCAGCACCTTCGGTGCGGGCGGATTTAAACGACAGCACAATACATCGTAATGGGTTTTGGGTGATGTACCCAATGCATCCACTATTTGAGACGCTGAAACTGTCATCACCAGCTGTGTGGCACATTCTATGGTTAATGACTCATAATCACTGTTAATGTGTCCTACCTTTCCTATCGTTCCTATATGTTCCTATCAAATTGGGTTTCTAGATGCGGATTTTACATGTGGCAGTTTACATGTGGCAGATGCAGGATCCTTGTGGCAGAAATTATGTGACTCGGCCTTCCAGCAGTCAATGGTGAATATTTTGAAGTCATGATCTCTATAAGGAAGTTGAAACTTGCTTTCCCCGGTCTTTTGAGTGTTCCACACTGCATTCTTCTTGCCTTGTACCTGGTGAATCCTGGTGATGCCTGACTGCAGCTGTAAGGACTCTAAGGACCTGTTTGTGTTGTCACCTCGCAGTGTGTTTCTTCCAAGGTCTTCATCGCGCAGGCCCTACCAGTCATGTTCACTGCGGATGCTGAATGATGCTGAATGATTCCGAGTATCTGTTGTCAATTGTTTTCAATATCATTCAATATCATTCAATATTATTCAATATCTATTCAGTATTTATTCAAAATCTATCTATATATATGTATATATAGTATATTTATGTATATTTACATTATTCAATATCTATTTATATTATATTATTTGTATTAAGTTGCTAACTCCAGCGACAGCCTGATCTCTGAGGCGCTGCTGGCCGGGTCCGGGCTCTTTGGCGTCGCAATCTGGCAATGTCTTTCAGTCCAGTCGTGGCTTATCGTTCACGAGGCGTTGGGACCATGAGATTCTGCAGATTCCTCCTGTCGGTTTGCAGAAGACTCTAAGATCATGAGAAGATCATTGAAAAACACTCAAGACATATCAAGACATATCAAGACACTATGAAAAAAGCGCGGCTTATATCATCTTATATCACTGTTTTGAAGTGAGAAAAGAGATGAAAAAAAGATGTTTGGTTTCGAGGCCAGCTACTTCCTGGCAGCTTGGGCGCACCTCGCCTGCGCGCTCTCGGACCCTGGCGCGGTGCCGCGTGGCGCGGCGGAGGTCTTGGCGACAGAGCCAGAGGCCGAGTTCCGATCCGAACTCTGAAAACAGAAATCCCCAGAATCTCGATACTTAGCTACAGTGATTGTTGGATTGGAGACTAAAGTAGCTACGTAGCTTCCCATAGTAACTGTGAAATCCAAAATGCTCCTGAATTTGAAGTGGTGTGAACGTTCTCAACTGGCATAATCACTGCAGTGATACAATGATACGCAACATTTGTGATGGATTCATCATGTATGTCATTCTCCACGTGATTTGGTCGGATGCGAGTTTGAAACTCGCAGGATGAGAACTCTTCAGCCGTCCGCTGGTGCAAGCACTGTCAGGTAGCTTGTCGGTGTCAGTGGATCATAGTGGATCATAGTGGATCCTTTTTTTGGATCTCACTGTGGATTCTCTTCCTACTCTTCCTACTCTTCTCACTCCTTCCACCAGAGATTTTGTGGTTTGGGTCATTTGGGTCATTTGGGTCTTGGACCCTGACTCGCTTTGCGATGCACTCAGCTGCAGTTGGCGAAGCCACCCAGAGCGCACCACTGCAGCACCTGCCAGCGATGCATCCGCAAGATGGATCATCACTGCATGTGGATGAACAACTGTGGCTTGGATGTCGACATATGTTGACTAAAAACAGGGAAACATAGATTCTAATAGATGAACATGATGACCATCTGAGAAAACAATGGAAGCCACAAAGCGCAACTTTGTACCATGATGTACCATCAATGTTGGAGACTGTTTCAAGAGAATGGCCTTAGAAAAGGAATCAGTTGCCGAAAGCGTCTGAGATCTACAGGCTGAGTGACGGGGTTGCTAATCTACAAGCTCAGAGATTTGATGAAGGACAAGGGATATGCTTTGCAGTATGACCATGAAAATATATGAAAATATGACCATTGACCACAAAAAAACCCGCACTTGCAAAGTCATCCCATGAAATTTGTGCTGTTTGTTTAACCCGATATCCTTGAGAACAAGGCATTGGAGCAAACAACCAGAAGCATTTCCTCCTTTTCCTGACTTACACGAGTTTGCATTGCCTGGGTGTAGCGCCTATGACCCTTGGGCAGCATTGACTGGACGTTGCAGAAAAGCAGACCATGACCATGACATGTGTTTATGGTGTTTGGAATTGAAAGAACTGCTTGGCAGTACTTCTTTCAAACAAAAACGAGGACTGCTGAAAGTCAGAACTGCGAAACATCCAAGGAGTCTGTGGTGTCTCTTTGCGTTACATCCACCTCCAGGAGAAGAAAATCCCCTATACGCAGCAGTCTCATGGCTGCATCTTCCGCCAATCAATTTCAATGGGTGTTTTACTTCTGGAACTTCTGGACCTGAATTTACATCCATCTGAGCAGGAAAATCATATGACAGCAAAGATGCTTGGAAAACATCTACTGGATCAATCTGAAGCCAGTCTTGAAAAAACACATCGGAATCTGTGTTTTGCATGTCTTCTTTCCACCGTATGTTGTTCTTGCAGGTGAGCCTTGGCTCCATTCTGTCCTTGCTGCTGGCGGGATGTTTGGGCCGCTACTGCATGCAGCTGCTGAACGAGCAGTATCATTCCTTGAAGAAGAATCAGACCTTCATTGAGCAACTGCAAGGCTAGCCGTGGGGATGTTTGATTTTAGCATCCGGCAATGTCCGGCAACTGTTCTGAGCCAAGCAGATTCGAGTTTCTTTTCACTCACGACTTGCTGTCGCATTGCAGTTTGACACTCTGATTCTCCATTGCGTGGCTCACATGCCGTTCGAGCTTTTTTGGAGGTACGGTTGGTGAAGCTCGAGCATTTCGAGCCACTTTGCAGGAGCCTGGAACACAGCGCAGCCATTTGCTTGAACTGCTGTGAATATCGGATCCAGCTGGCATTTCCACCGTGCACATTGACGCACATTGACGCATGCAAAATGCTGCGAAGGAGGTGATGGGCTGTGCTCCATCCTGGCGATGGCTGGTGCCCCTTGCAGTGCCGCGTTGTGAGAGCGCTGCCTGAGAGAAGGGCAAAGTGCACAGCAAATTTTCGCAGCAAAACGAGCAAAACGACAAAGTTCGCAAAGTTGACAAAACTGCTGCCAAGTTCGCTGCATGGTGTGAGGAACTTGTGAAGCCTTTAAACTTTCAACAGAAGCCAACCGTTTCTTCAGCATACATAGCATACTGCAACAATCAGTAACATCATGTAACATCCTATCAAGCTGTCCACATCTTGCAGTGAGGTGAGTGAGACACTGTGTGCATGGCGTCTTGACGGAAGATTCTATGCCGTTGTAGCGCAGGGTGGAGCTTGGCCCCCAGCACTGGATGAACAGACACATTTGAAATCGAATTGAATATATCAACATATCTGTTGCGGTAGAAGAAGCAACCATTGATGAATTCCAGGCTTCAAACTTCTTTGACTTTGAAACAGGGATGTTTCGAGTGACATCGATGATTGCCCGGACCATCTGGTGTCACATAGTGAAGCACTACTGGGTCCCATGGGTTGTCGCTTTGCGCCGCATTGCGCCGTGTTGCGCCCTTGATATCTGAGGCATTGCACCTTTGTCTCGACAGTGATCTCTGTACCTGGAGAAGGCCAGAGACAGAGACCATATGTGATTGCAGCGATCCGTCCACGGGCTTCTAGGATGGAAGATAGGTAGCTGCCGGTAGCAAGTTAAGGCTTTCCTATTTTTAGCATGTTCTTTGCATGTTCTTTGCATAGCTTCCAGCATTGCTCTGTAATCTTTTTGCAGATCTTGACCAGGTGCGTAGAGCTGGGGGCATTGTGGCCTTCTGTTGTCGCAGCTCAACGGGGCTCTCGACTGACTCTTAGCGCTGTGGTTGGGTCACTCAGAAAGGCCATGCGTCCAGCAGGCTGTAGAAGCTATATATCTCTTCAAGAGACCACTGCGGGCTGTCAAGAACCAAAAACAAAGAGCAAATTCAAAAGCATTGGCTCAAGTCTTCTCAGTCTCAACACCATTCAACATTTTCATAAGGAAACTCTGATGTTGGCGGTATCTTTATGTATCTTTGGAACCGACGATCGAGGTCCCAGGAACTAATGGACCTCTATGGCTGATGTCCTTTGCTGGGCCTGAGGTGCGGTATCTACATGCGCTGCATTTAAAAGTTAGAAGTTTTCCAGGCATCGACAAGCATAAAAAACACTGTTGGTGGAAAAATATAGTGCATTTCCATGCATGTCCCAACTACAGCAAAGCTCAGGTGTTGGCGCTGCCACTCGTGCTGGATTCTGGTTCTGGGCTGAAGAACTGCAGCGATCGTCGTGCTGATTTGACATCTACAGCCTGTACAGCTCGAAAGTGACATCCGAGGCAAGGAGGTCCCTCAGGAGGCAGGGCGGCAGGGCGCTGCTTTGGTCTTCTGATCAATGGATGTTGAAAACGAGCTGCCGAGGTTCGACTAGCTCTGCCTGAAGGCTTTGGAACTGCCAGATGTGCGCCGGGCTGCCACAGAACAGTTGTCAAGACTTCAACTTTGGTGAATGACCAGATGGATGTTGAAGTGTCGAAGTTTCGACGAGGGTTCCGGGCCATTTCAAAAACAGGGCATCTCTCCTCTGATCTTCCAATGCTCTTGAAATTTCTTGAACTTTGCAATTATGTGAAGCATATTCTGTGAAGCATATGTGAAGCAGTGAAGTTTCCCTCTGGGCCGTACTTTTTTGGGGCCAGCACAAGGCTGGGCCTTTCCTCCATGATCGCAGTGAGCGGCTCTAGAGGAATGTTAGCTTGGTGCGTCTGGCGCGAATTGAAACCAGCTGCCTTGACGCAAGAATGCTGTTTGTTCGAGAATCTTTGTTGCTGAGCTGTGAGAATGGCTGTGGTACAAAGTCCCTATTGGGTGAAATTTGAGATGGATGGACACGGATGTGCAATGTGCGAAGTCACCTTTTGGAGCCAGGTGGAGCACTTCTGATTGGAAGCTGCTTGGAAGGCCTTCCCTGGTGCTGTGGCAAGGAAACATCAAGATGCCATCATACTAAATAAATTAAATATCATGAGATCTCATTAAATCATATTAAATCAGATTGATTAAGTCATATTGAATAATTTTCCCAACACCTAGATCAATCTGAGATCATTTGTTGGCTGCGCTAGTGACTCTTCCTATTGCCAGTTCCTCACCAGCGCATGCTGCTGGAGTTCTTCACCTTGCGAGGGCTCCCCTGCCCAGATTTGTTTGCAAAGCTGTGAGAGCTGCGCAATTTTTGTGAATCGTTCATTCATTTTCATTCATTTTCATTCATTTTCATTGATTAAACATGATTAAACTTAATCTACTTCAAAGCAGGATGTTTGAAAACCCTTTGGTTCGAAAATGCAAATGCTGGAAAACCTGAGTGCTTCGGACCTTAGGTTTGGATACGGCCCAGCACTGACGATTCTCTTGTCCCCGAGGCACGATTGAATCCCGACATCGAATTGAGATTGCCCCCTTGACCCTCAGCAAAGTTGAAGGAATCCATGGGAATTCATGGGGATCAAGGAAATCATAGCCGAAACCGCAGGCATCGCTGCTAGCAGCTCTGGATGAGATGGGAAAGTGTCGCCTGGTGGATCTCTCCAAGGGCGAGGCCGAAGAAATATGTGACTCGATGTGACTCGATGTGAATTGTCGATCCATGAGACTTTGTCACTTGATGCACTTGAATCACTTGATGTTTCGGAAAGAACCATCAACTTATCCAACTTTGGATGTGGCACCGCCACCATCCACCACCATCCACTGCCCATCGCGACTTTGATCATCGGATCATTGGATTCATCGCTCTTGCAGTCTGGCAGACTTCCAGTGCTCCAGGCTCTGTGCACGATTCAAGCGCAGATGCCGGACTTGTGGATTGACCAGTCTGAAGCCCAGACAAGGAACACATACTGTAGATAGATGTAGATAGGTAGAGAAACTGAGAGAAACTGATAAAACTGCTCAGGTATGGTCGGGTATTGCTAGGTGTCACAATGTGTTACATCAGGTGTTGCATCAGGTGTGTCAAAACACAGCCTCGAGGCCTTTGCGCTTCATCTATGATCCAGTGGGCTACTGCCTCAGCTGCTCAGCTGTGGCAGGACTCGACAGGACTCGACAGGACTCGAGAGCTGTGAAGCGAGGAGGATGGATCTCCGCCATGAATCCACAGAAGGCCCAGAGCTCGATCCCAACACAGGAAACATGGGGAAGCATGGAGAAGCATGGAGAAGATGTTAAAGTTCCTCATAGACCTACGATGTCCATATTTGTGCAATGGCTTGACCCTCAGGTTTGGACTTGGGACATTACCTCAGGAGTTTTCGCGCATAGCCGCAAGCTTGCAGGTGCACCAAACATAAGAAGTTTCATCGCTTTTCTGCTCCTTTGCTTTGATACTGCCACTAGGCTCATTTTGACTTCATGCCACGTGGGAGCCACGAAACTCACCAAAATTTGACATCAGAAAATTATTAACTGCAGAAGCAGCACACAATTTCAGAAAAGAATCAGCACTGCAAAACAATCAAAACAGGGGTGCTGCACAAAAAACACAACATTGGATAACATAATGATAACATTGGAACCAGTAGAAAACCTTGGGGCGTTGCTTTCGGTTGCTGATTGTGGCATATGGCAGGTACCGAGGACAGGCCAGGCTCTGAGATGTGAAACCTTCACAGCTGCAGTTTGTCCCCCTGTTTTCTCCTCGTCGTGCCGTTATGCATATTCTGTTGATGTTTGTTGACTTGCAGAATCACCATGATGTTGTTCACGTGTAAAAAACAAAAAAACACGTTGTTTCCTATGTTTCCTCGTCATATTTTGTCCTTGTTCTGAAGTTCTGAAGGCTTCAAGATGCCACAGGTCGAAAATCTTCGGAAAAAAAATCGCCAGGAAGTCGAGCAGCCTTGACAGCGTCTGCTGGCAGGTGAGGCGTAGTTCTCCGTTGAAGTTGAGAGGAAGGGACTCGATATTTCACGTACACTCTCGTTTAGGAGAGTAGGGAAGTGAATATGAATACATACAGAACGCCAACCAATGTGGAGAAAGTATGAGAAAGTTGTCTTTCTTTCAGGACTTTTCTGGTGCTTTTTGAAATTTCACGATGGATGATGGCAGCAAACATCAACTAACAAACCCTTCAAGGCAGCTGAGGGCTCTGCTTCCACGTGGCTTGGGGAGGCAAAGAAGTCGTGATGAGTGCAAAATCTATGGTGTAAATTCATGCAAATTCAAAGACAAAATGACGACCAAAAGATACCAAAGGTGTCAGCATCTTTTGATATCTTTTGTCTTTGCTGATTTTGCTGCGCAGTTCTCTCCATATCTCTCCATTGTCTCATGGGCATTCATGGGCTCCTCTAGGTGATGCTGGATGGACCATTATGGAAGTTGCCAGTGCTGCTATGTGCACCCCAAGAGCTGTTCAGGCAGAGTTTGGACTCGTCGTGCGTAGACTCAGTAGACTTGCTGTTTTGACATCGCAGGCGGGAAGCGGCTCCTTGTCGAGAAGGAGCGCTTGCAGGCCGGGATAAACCAGCTTCAAACGCCTCTTGATACGTTTCAGAGTGGGCTTCAAGTCAGTGAATGGTGTGGCTTTTCCCGTGATGCCAGCAATGCCAGCAATGCCAGCAGTCAATTTATCACCTGAACTGCTCTGAGTCCGGGAAAGTGGGCAGCTGCACGTTGTTGCAGGACCTGATGTGCCATATCGCGAAGGCACGGGCTTCGCGGGCTTCGTTATGGCTCAGTCATCAACGATTTGAGAAGGAGCAGTTCGTCAGTTCTCACCTGCGTTCGTTTGTGATGTCAGGTGCCTTTAGGCACGAAAGGTGTAGAATGACCATGAACAAAGAACATGAACATGCTGTACTATGCTCAGTACCATGCCATGCGACCAAGAAAACAGAAGTTCAGTTACAAATGGCTGCGGGCTGTCGCACCATATTACAGCAGCAAACAGATCACGTTGCGCGGAATTCAGTACAGCCAGACACCGGATTTGATGCATTGGACCGATGCTGCCATGCAACAACCTTTTCTTATCACTTGAATCACTTGAACTTTGGTAAATTTAGAGATATTTGATACTTGTTTGATACTTGTTTGATACTTGTTTGATACTTGTCACATTTTGTCACTCCTGTCACCCGGAAATGTGACACTGCTCAACATGGCGCCCAAAGCCATGCCTGGCCTCGGGGGCAAGATGAGCAAGTCTGAAGAGCCGGAGAGGGAAACGGATGAAAACGGATGAAAACGTGGAAACATGTGGAAAAATGTGGAAAGCAATGATACTTGTAGGTCATGATAGATCAATGATATTCAATGATAATCAATATTGAAAGTGATGCATATGATTGATATGTCTTTTTGACAGACGTTTGAGAGATTGAAACTGTTTGCAATGATGTCTTCTGAAGCTTTGTGTCTGAATTTCTGCGTTTCATGGAGCCAAAAAGAGTGTCATGCAGAGTAGAAGAAAACCAGCCCCAATTGCAAGAGATACATATAGTATCATATCCTGGATATAGTTACCAACTCAATGCAACAGCACAGCAAGAGTTCATTGCAGTTTCGGGATTGTGACTGTGGGTGTAGAATTGGACTCATTGGCAGGAGCGGCCGCCCATCGACTTCGTCCCTGGTTCGCACATGTCTCCGATCCTGATAATTTCAAGAATGTGCAGCATAAACATCATAAACCCAGTAATCAAGATCATGAATGATCATTTGTAATATAATTATGTATATATATATATTATGCAGTACAATATAGATATACTGATATATGGCCAAGTCATTGAGAGGTCCAATTGGATAATCGTCTTGGACTCGTAGCTGCCGTAGCTGCCGTAGCATTGCATCCTCGGTGTTAAGGAGCGCATTGATGGGGAGAAACTGGTGGAGAAGTCGCTCTTCAAGCTACGAATCTTGAGCCAAAGAGAGCTGCCACAAACTTCGAGTCTTAGGAAAGAAAAAAATACAGACAAGACATACTTAATATTGCTAATTTCTTATTTTTCAATCGGAGGGTAAACTCTCTTTTTTCTGTTGAACCAGGAGTGGTGGACAGAAAGCCTAAGGGACATCGCTTTCTTGAGAAGTTCATAGAAATTCGACGTCAAAGACTTCTTTCAGTTGAGGATATGCATCTGAACCAATGATCAAGTGTGCACCTCAGAACTTTTTTCTGCCCAGCGATTCCACCGATTCCAGCGATCCAGCGTTGCTTGGAGGTCTTTGAAGCTGGAAGATCCTGAGCCGAATGCCAAAGTTTGGGACTCCGCGAAGCTGATGCTGCTGCCCCAGACATCCAGACTTTCAATCCTTTTCATGTGTAATGGACAGTTGACATGGCACATTGAACATCATTGAACATGTATTCAAATGTCCTATTCAAATGTCCTATAGATTCCAAGAATTTGTTTCACAGGTGAGCCATATTGACATTCAATGTTTGCCCAGGTCTTCCGTTGTAGCGAAGAGTGGTTGGGCCAGCTTCAAATTGTCAGAGGGGACGTGTCTTGGCAGAAGTTTTCTGGAAAGGAGGCCTCCAAGGTTTCAATGTGATATGGATTGATATGGTGTCTTAATGCCAGTCATGTAAACTTTTTGGTACAGAGAGATGTGCACTTGATTTCCTTAAAAAGAAAGCAATTATATGCTATTATCATAAATATCAAGCTGCTCTTAGGCTTGGGCTTTGAGGTTGGATCACATTTTGATCGCTGCAACTTGTATGCTGAGGCTGCCGTCCATCAAGGACAAAATGGCCCGTGTTGCTGGCTCTGTTGCCGTCGGACAGAATTGCATGGGCTTCTTTGCTGTTCATTTGGCAGTGAGTTAGTCAGTTAATTCTTGCTGCCACAGAACATGTTCTATTTGCCATGCTGCAGTGGGGTCCTGTTTGCATTTTTGGATTTTGGTGACGTTTGCTGGTGGGAGCCACATCTTTTTGGCTGTGGCCAGGTCGGGCGAGCCAAAGTACAACATCGCTCCCATCGCTGGCATCGCCGAGCCAATCACCCACCAGTGACTTAGACATGCAACAGAATGCAACAGAATGCAACAATCAACTTGTATACACTTTGTATACTTCTTTACTTCTTTGCTTGTGAAACCTTCACAACCTAAGAGATCTACTGACATGATTTTATGTTATCTTCAGGGGCACGCACGAATTGAGTTGATACTCATATTGGAGGATGCATTTGTTCCACAGCTTCAGTGATGTCGAGCCATGTTGAGCCATGTCGTCAGGCCTTGGAGAATCTATGTCCGTGGCATCCATGACTGGGACGGGTGGAACCTTGGCTGAAAAGACACTGGAACGCGTCGTGCCGTCGTGCCGGTGTCTTCCAAGGACGCTTTCGGAACTTCAAAGGATTGGCAAAGGGCTTGGACGAAGATGGCAAGAGGATGAAACGATCTGAGCAGTACTTCCAGCTATTGATGAGGCGCCACTTATACACCTGTATACAATTGTATACACCTGTATGCTTTCACAGCAATGCAATCACATTTAGAATGGCGAGACAACTCTGCTTTGCTCGTGCATTCCCACAATAAACAACAGTATTGCCTAGAGATTCTAAAGTTCATCATAGTTTGCGACAGTTCATGATAGCATTGATAGCAAAGCATTGGTTTCGTTTTCAAACAGGTTGATTTCCCCAGAGATTTGTGCTGTTTGGGATTGGACACAGACACCCCAGTTCCGCTGTGACTTTGATTTTGATGTGCAGGGCAAAGTACAAAAAGGACGAAGCGGACCGTAAGGCAGCTGAGGCCGTCACCTTGCCACGGACGTGTCATGATTTTGATGTAATACATTGATGCCATGTAGTAAAATGGTACAAGTTTGCCAGTTTTTTTTGAAATTTAATCTATATATTTATATAGACATTTCAATACGACATGATATTTATATGATATGTGCAATATATTATATGTAAACAAATAGAAATACATACTGTAAATAAATAAATAAATACACAAATACATAAATAAATAAACAAAAAACAACTATCTTTTGCCAACTATTTTTTGAAACCGCTTGAGCCTTGGACGTGCCACTTCCTCTCGAAGGGTGAAGAGATGGAGCGCGCTGAAGGTGCTGCACGCCAAGCCTTCCGCAAACTGATGGGTCTCTGGGAGGCAGAGAAGCGCTCAGCCGCTCGGCATCGCTTGGCAGATGGTCTAAGTTTCAAGATGTTTCAAGCAGCACGGGCATCTCGAAATATCAACAATTTCTCAACATATCTCAAATGTACTGAGCACAGGGCGACTGTCAGCTTCTGCGACATGTTAGGACCTGCTAGGACATGCCGCTGAACATGTTCAAAGCATTTCGAGTTGCGATGGTCTCTTCATCCGTCTTCATCCCTTCGAGGAAGGAACTACCGATTCAGAGGGAGATGACTCTGAGGGTGAGGCGCAGATGAGATGCCACATCATACGACTTTACATATGTCATGATTGTCATGTTGCACGTTAGATGTAAGGTCAAGACACAAGGCCTCGAAACTCAGTGATAGGCGATTTCTATTGGACTTTGTGACTACCATGCCTTGGACATTTTGGGTTTGCACACACTTTGAGTTGTGGAACCATTCAACTGGTCAGGAAGACTACGGGCCCTTGACTGCCTATGATGGACAGATGAAGATTGACGTTGATTTCGTGGTGGTTGTTCCGCATCGCCCCTTGGCCTTTTCCCTCTGAGCAGAGCTGATACACTAGAGATGTTATTGTACATCATCAGATTTCATCTGTATATCAACGCCGTTTAACGAAGCTGATGTGGAGACGGCTTAGGCGACGAAGAGAAGGAGGATGTCTTCATCTATCCTACTGTTCCGGAGGTGCAAACCATTTTCAGGGAAGGCACATGAGTCTTTGCGACCAGCCTTCTACCAAAATGGCACCAGAGGGGTCAGGAGCCTCAGTCAAAGGCACTTGGCCTCTAAGGTTCTACAAGATGATGAGCCAATCCTCCCTGTCCATGATGACACCCCCAGAGACGAGGGTTCGTCAGGTACGACTACACCGTCTGGGCTCCTGGAAATTTGGGGAGAAGTCCTGGCCCAAACTCTCCAAGTTTTGCAGCAGACGAAAGCATTTCCCAATATCCGAAGCAAATGCCTGGTTGACAGTGATTCAGAAATTCATTGTTGGTTTGTAATGAATATATATATATAATGTTTTAATATGTTTTATGATCTTGTTTCGACCAGGTTGGACTTTTCAGATGAAATGGAGACGTTGAAGGTCGAGCTGAAAAAAGCTGGCAAGTTGGACGACGCCCCGAAGGCAGTGGCTTCACGGAACAGAGCGGGGCTGACAAATTGGCATGGGCTGATGACTTTGCTTTTGCTCATTGGGAATTGGTCGCAGTTTGTGCCATGGAAACTTTCAGGATCTTTCAGGCGCTTTGTGAAACTTGTGCTGCTTCCCAGCGACCGCTGCATATTCATCGGCAGGGGATCGCTCAGAAGGATCCAGCCGGGACATTGGATGCACGTCAAGGCATCCAGTCTGCCGCGCGGCGCAGTTCAGAGGTGCTGCAATGCTGTGGCCACAGTTTAGAAACTGAAGATTTGAGACACTGTGGCTACACTGCTACACTTTTCGATGTATTCTGTCGAGATCTGTCGAGTAAAGAATGGATGTCTGAATAGTATGATTAGAGTGACGAGTAAACTCCGCAAGTGGGTGGCTGCTGAATCCCGTGAAACCTACTATATCCATCTATATCCACTATATCCTATTATGTCTACTATATATATAGTATGATGAAATATGATGAAATCTATGATGAAATCTATGATGTTTGTGTGTGGAAACGTGGCTGCGAGCTCAGGAGAAGAAGATGCCCAATCTTTGGGACAATCCTTATCCAGAGTGGAGCCTGGAGACTGGTGGAAGCATGTACTTCATCCCCGATGCAGCAACTCAGCAGTCATGATGCACAATTAGAGGCTCCAATAGGCTCCATGTTCTGATGGTGTTCTTGGCTTCAGTTGCACCAATGATGTATATTGATGTATATATTGATTACATACAATATACATATACAATCATATACAATACACATATATACATATACATACATATATATATAATATATATACATATAATATATATATATATTATAATTATTTTTCTATCGGTCTGTATCGATCTGTATCGATGTGGATAGGATTGGCAGACCACTCCATGCCTTCCATGCCACATTTCTCTCACCACGTCGTTCGTCGATGTCGTAAGGAGCGGTACGCGTGGTGTCCGTCGTTGCCACCGCCGCCTCCTCCATCCATGCTGGGCCGACGGCGTCTGCGCAACTTGGATCACTCTGAGCTGACCGTGAGAATTGGATGAGTCACAGAGTTTCTACATCCAATTTATATATAATTTCTTACATATTCATAATACATTTACATACATTTAATGTATTGACAAAACTTATTGAATTTTACTGACAACATGTAACTGTATAAACAACTGTAAATTTGTAATATTATGTAATACATCCATACGTTCAATATATTGCAATATATTTGAATATTTCAAATGTTCAATGATAAACAAATCTCATATCATGTGAAAGACACGAGTGTGATAGAATGTATGAGATATCCAGTGAGTATTTCTGATGTTCATCTTGCATCGAGTTCTCAAGTGTTCATGAAAAACATCAAGCGTTCTCCAATTCCACAAACTCAGAGTGAACGCAAGTGACCTACGGCGGATGCACTGATAAGCACTGAATATTTGCATCCACTGCATCCATTGCATCTTCTGAGCTGTGGCACCCACAGTGGCACATTGGCACTGAGGTCTGAAGCCACGGTTGCCGCTGACCCTCTCCAACCATCGATACAAAGACGAGTATCTGGACATATTTAAGGGCACCATTTTTGGGCAACTCTACACCTTAAGACACTCTGTTGTGAAGCGTTCTGAAGGAATATGTGGCAAACACGAAGATTGGGGAGGACACATGTCGACGCAACCTGATGGTTTGTTTTGCCAGGCACCCGAACATCTTCCCTCCAGAGCCCTTCAGCCCAAGCCAGGCCGGGTGCGGATGCAAGACCCTGCGAACCTACAAAGACATCAATGGCATCCAACGGCCACATATTTGACATATATATTATTATATATTTATATACACACACCTAGAAACTCTTTCGGCATTTTTTTTTTGCCGGAGGCAAAACTTTGTTGGGTTTACGCCGGAAACTTTCTACAGATATGTTGAAACAACAAAATACAGAAAAGATACCCACTCGAAATTATGCCGGAATTATGGGCAATTACACCGCCTGGAAACATGACCGACTAACTATTTCAAAACAACCTGCAAACCAGAATTTGCGGCACGGGTGCAAAAACGCAGGGAAGCATCTGAAGGCGCCTTTTACCAGGCAAAGTCGCCTTTTTCCTGAAAGGCAAAATTAAAAGGCAATTTGGAGTCTGTAACAATGTACAATATACAAGATTACACAAGATTATACAATCAAATTGAATTCAGATCCGATCTGACATGCTCCAAGCGATTCTTCGATTGCTTGTGCCATCAGGATCATTATGCATCCTGGGAGAAGAGGATTCTCACTTATGATCTCTACAGCAGCAACTTGGCAGCTTGCGGAACATGTTTCATTTTGGTATGATTATATTCACCCCGCTTCGCGTGGGGTGGCCGCCCACACCGCAGGTTTATTTCGGTCCGTGAGAGGGGCTAAGGGTGGTTTTCCCCCGTGGGGGCTCCCCAAGCTAGGGAATTTTCACTTTCCCCCCCTGTGGGGGCTCCCCAAGCTAGGGAATTTTCACTTTTCCCCCCCGTGGGGGCTCCCCAACCTAGGGAATTTTCACTTTTCCCCCCCGTGGGGGCTCCCCAAGCTAGGGAATTTTCACTTTTCCCCCCCGTGGGGGCTCCCCAAGCTAGGGAATTTTCACTTTTCCCCCCCGTGGGGGCTCCCCAAGCTAGGGAATTTTCACTTTTCCCCCCCGTGGGGGCTCGCTAGGGAATTTTCACTGCTCCCCAAGCTAGGGAATTTTCACTTTTCCCCCCCGTGGGGGCTCCCCAAGCTAGGGAATTTTCACTTTTCCCCCCCGTGGGGGCTTCCCAAGCTAGGGAATTTTCACTTTTCCCCGCCGTGACAGCTTCCCAAGCTATGGAATTTTCACTTTTCCCTCCCTTGGAGGCTCTCCAAGCTGCGGAATTTCAAATAGCTAGACAACGACGCCTAGATAGTCCCCCAAATCCCGTGTTCTTTGAATGTGTTTCCATGTTTTTGCAATGGTTTCCTTCAAAGCACGGTACTTTACACTTTTGTCGCCATAAAACCGGTCGAAAACATCATGTTCGACAATGCTTCCAATTCCCTTATCTCCCCAACCGTTGAAAATACCGCTATTTACAGTGTTTTCTTCAATTTTTCCATGTGCCAATGCCGGTAGCCAACTCCAACATATATATAAGAAATCCTTCCAAAACATTGTTTTTGACAGTGTTTTTCCAATGTTTCCAGTCAAACAGACGGTAATTTACACGTTTTTTGCCATAAAGGCAGTAAATCCTTCCAAAACATTGCTTTTGACAGTGTTTTTGTAATGTTTCCAGTCAAGCATACGGTAATTTACACGTTTTTTGCTATAACGTCAGTCCAAAACACTTGTTTTTGCAGTGTTTTCAATGCTCTGGCATCCAAAAACCCTGCAAAATCTTGCTATGTACAATGTTTTTTTCATTTTTGGCCGTTTTTCCATTGCCGGAAAGCTACCAAAATGACCCAAAATTCCATTTCAATACCCTCTTGCGCTCAGACACCCAAAAATCCTCGAAAAATGTCGAAAACACCACCGTATTCTGGTCTCGGTGCGAAACCGTTTTTGGGCCCCCCCCCCCAGCTAAAGCTGATATAGCGACTGCTATATTAACAAATGTCATTGAGCATTTAGTGTTGCTGTTGCCCCCCAATAAGCACGCCTTCACCGCCAAAGCGGTGTGGGCGGATTATAAACAGCATGCCGAGGCATAGACTGGTGTTCATTGGGAGGATGATCCAGCAATCCAAAGCTCACAACAAAGCTTTTGAGCTCTTGCACCAACTTTACAAAGCTCAAAACTAGCACATGCATACTAAGCATACGGCATACAGTCACAAGATGATTTGACTCCCATGACTTTCAGCTAGGATTCCACTGGGATTCCTTTTTGAAAACCGCCTCGGTCATCTCAGTCCCCTGCGTGGGCTTCATCGACTTTGTTATATTTTGTTATACTTTGTTACTCAGGCTGCGTAGAGGCACTGGCGCGGTTGCCTCCACAGGCGCAGACATGCCAACTTCAGTTGAAGCAAGCATCAATGCTCATGGAACTAGTTGCTAAGCAGCTTGTCTCATAGAATTTCTGCAGACACCATTAGACACCCCAAAAAGTCGTAGATGGCCACTTTCTGCATTTTGCTAACACTTGCATTGCAGGAATTTGCAAAAGATGAATACAAACACAAGCTGAAATTTGGAAGTTGCTCGGCATGCTTTAGACACGAGACATTCAGAATCAGAACTTGTTGCATCTGCCAGTATCTGAAAAGGGGAAGACAGCAAGGGCCCAAAGGTAAAGAAAAGCAACAGTATATCAGCTACAGCATTTCATCCTACTGGGCCAATTGGGTGATCATCTCAAACCATGGCGACCCCAAATTTTACCATGGTTTTTCTGGACTTTGAAGATTCCGTAACGTTCGTCCATGGTTCGTGCATCGTTCGTTCATCGTTCGTTCATCGTTTGGTTGTTGGGGTCCTGGAGTCCTGCAGCGATGCCGAGGCTACATGGAGAAGGCGCTGCGACGAAGCAGAGCTTGGAAAAACTGGCGAGGTCGTGAGAAGAAACGTGTCAAGGACGAGGCCCCTGGCCGCCCCTGGCCGCCCCTGGCCGCCCCTGGCCGCCCCTGGCCGCCCCTGGCCATGTGGTCATGGCCAATGTCACGGATTCGGATTGTAATGGACTCTATCTCTAATGATCTCTAATGGACTTATGAATAATATGAAGAATGGCATTTCACTTAGAGTCACATTAATATCCAGTAATGGGAATATCGGAATATGAAGAATTATAATGAGCAATAATGAGCATGATCTTCTTCATGAGAAAATGAATAATGAATTGTGATAATGATCTCCTATGTAAATGAAATGATTTCAATGATACATAGTGGGCGATTCTCCTAGTGTCACTCCCTCTACCACAAAATGTAATCAAGCAGAGAAGGCTTGGTCACTCAGCGCACGTGGCTTGGTCACTCAGCGCACGTTGGTTGACACAGTCGACAGGAAAGCAGGATTCAAAGAGAACGTGAAAACGAAGAGCGGCGGCGGATTGAGAAGGAGCCATGGCTAAAGCATGGCTAAAGCATGGCTAAAGCATGGCTAAAGCATGGCTAAAGCATGGCTAAATAGGGTGACAGAATGAAACAGAATGTGACAGAGAACAGATGAGAACAGCATTGAAAAGCTCCTTGAAAGGCAGCCTAAGGCAAGTTCAAGAGATTCCCATCCATTCATCACATTTCATTATATCACATGATTTTTTACTAAGTACAACCATGTACAACCAATAACCATTCAGCAATCCATTCAGCAAGCCATTTTTCCAACGGAGTGGTGGTAACTCCGTGGCTCCAAGGAGAAGAAGCAAAAAGCCGCGGAGGAAGCACTGCGACTCCAAGAAGAGGAAGAATGGTAGCGACTGTCGATGCGACTGTCGATGGTGATTCAAGTGGGTAGAAACGCTGAGAGCCGATGTATCTACTGACCTATTTATATGATTTTATATATTTATGTATGATATATAATATATAATATTGATATATATATATATTTATTGAGGGAAGATATCGATGGCCAATTTTCGCAAACTGATAGATGATGGTGATGGAAGACCAAAGCACCCCGAAAGCGAAGTAGTCGTGAAAGTCTAAAGCCAACGATCAAAGAACATGGTAGTGTCACCAAGTAGCTTGTTCTGCATGATGCTCGACAGTGACAAACGTGAGTCCTGGCATAGCGTTAAACTGATAGCCCAAACCTCCTGGCAACTGAGTCAATTTTGTGTTGAAGGCAGAAACATACACGTACCCTGAATAATTTGAAGAATTTAAGAAACATTTTCTCATTCACTCAATTCAACGAGTTTGTTGCTTTGTCTTTTCCTTCAGTTGTCAATCTCAAGGAGCTTCATTTTGTCACTGTTGGCAGCCGAAGTTGCTGCGCCACATCATGTAGGATAAAGAGACAACGCCTCGGGACTCTGGTGCCGACCGGGGACAAAACACAGCATGTCTCGGTGTCGCAACGTTTTCTTTTTTATTCAAAGGAACGCGCAAACTCACAGTTGATGGACAGAGCAAGTGATGAGAAGATTTTGGCCGATTGTTTAGCACTCTAATAACTCTAATATGCTCTAACCATTTTTGTACAATCTTTGGATTCTTTGGATGGTGTATCGAAATGCATTGAATTCATCCAGAGTGGGGATGAAATCGGTTGCTCCAGCGCCTTGTGGCGGATTTATTCTCAACGGATCCTGGAAACTTGGTTCTGCTGAATTTGAGCGTTGCTCATTGCTCCGAGCGTTGCTCCGGACAAAAAGTGGCCAGTCAAGTGGCCTAGTGAGCCTCCAAGGAGATGCAAGGAGTCTGAGTCCTCTGGTTTGTCTGCATGTGATTTGGAGGTGACATAAGGTGATACAAGAATATACAAGATGGCAATATTCTGAGAACAGTGTGATGTTGCGAAATGTGTTGCGAAAGGTGGAAAGGGACACTGCTTTTGGCCGGGTCCTTGGTTTCATGGCTGAGCTCTAGCCCCTGACGCTGTATACTGAGCATGTCTTGGCACCGGCACCATGTGAGATATGTCATGATATGTCACTGTGTGTCACTGTGTCGTGTGATTTTCCTGATCCATTGGATCCGCTTCGAGGCGCCTCATTCCGTCCCAGCTCCGAAGACTTGGCGTGCGCCCAGTTCCTCCGAGTTCCTCCCAGTTCCTCCTGTCGTACTTAGAAATCTTAGCAGGCAACCGGTAGATACAGGTAGATACTGCAAATATCTGTGAATAGATTCCTTATAGATTCCTTATAGGGATGCCTTTGTCGATCTTTGTTTGCCCTGATCGATTTGCTCCATCAGAAGCATAGTCAGGATGAGGATGAGGTCTCAGGTGGTTAAGCACGGCGTTAAGCACGGCATTAAGCATCATAAGAATTCATAAGAGAGTTCTGATTCTTCAGCAACATTTGAAGTTCCGCAGTGGCTGCGGTGCTCACAACTACCTGGAAGTTTTCGGGGGTCGAAACAGACCACTTGGGGTCTAGCCTAGCCATGCTTTGGCAACGGAAAGCGCTACCGAGAAATGTGATGGCAAACAAAATTGTGTTTATACTTCTTATACTTCTTATACTTGTTATACTTCTTATTCTTATCCGGACAATCCAGAGTCAACTCAACAATATTTTCAAATTACATAAATTACTTTTCCCTAGTTGGCCTCTCTATTCTTCTCTCGCACACACACACACACTGTCCATGGCTTTTTAGTCCTCTAAGTCTTTGCATTCGAGATCAATCACCACGTTTGTGTACCATGCAAAAGCACCAGCATGAAAGCAGATGAAACGCAAGACCTGCTGGTGACACTCACACATGAGATGGACACGTATCAGAGGTACACTTGGCCGAGAATGTCCTTAGTGTTGGAGTCTGTGTCCCAGTTAGCAAAGCAATGTTTGGACGAGAACGATCTGCAAAATATGCAAAAACTCATGTTTTGGAGGTTCTGGGAGTAGACGACAGCTTGTCCTTTCCTTTGCAAGGCAGGAATGGTATGGAATGGTATGGAATGGTGTTCTCAGACTCTGACGTGCGCTGTGAATCGATGTGAATCGACGTGACAACTGGCAGTGCGTTGAGGCGCAGAGTCGTTTCCGTCGATGTCTTCGATGTCTTCTGCCATACGAATGATGATGGAGGCCGTGGTCGGCCGTCGTCGTGGCATGTCGTGGCTGCCGTCGATGTTGGTTTGTTGCAGTCGATGTTGCACCATGTTGCACCACCTCTCGAGTAGGAGAAGAGTCTGGTGGATGAGGAACCACAGGCTCGACATGGCTCGACAATTTGAACATTTTTGATCATTTTCCTGTATTTTTCGTGTTTTAACATGTTTTAACATGTTTTAACATGTTTTAACATGTTCTATTTTTTTTGCTTTTTGTTTTCTTCTCCGTTGTATTTATTTTCGGAATTCCAGTGTTTTGAGGTTTTCCTGGCGTTACTGGCGCGGGCACTTCTCAGCCCCGAGCTCACACGCCAGGCGGGTTCGTCAGAGGATAATCGAGCCACACCTGAACAGTCAAAGTTGAAAAATGAGGTCGAATGGATTCGAATGGTCTGTCGAGCCATGTTGATCATGTTGGCCACATGTGATCATGGTGATGAGCGGTGGCTATGCGGTGGCTACCGGTAACTTGACCTCGGACTTTGGAGGTGCTTCAGCGCTGGTGGCTTCCGAACCTGTCTCGCCTGTTGTCAGAGGCACCCATGGTTGAGAGTGGACAGACACTTCACCGATCATCAAATGACTACGGTATACTACGGTTGATTATGCATTTTACATCATTTTACGATTGTTTTGCCCAGACCTGGCTCCAGGGTCCCTTCTTGATTGTGACAGCGGCAGTGAAAGCTTTTACACAGCTCTTGCAGGGTGAGGCGAGGATTGAAAGCTTCACAGAAATTCAAGACGTTTCAACAAGTTTCGCGTGCCTTTCACATTCCTTTCCCTGAATTCTCTGAATTGGAATGTTTGGAATATGCTGTTTGATTCGACCAGGAAGTCCTCAATGGCTTCGCGTCACCCCAGGCTGGCGCAGATGCAGCAGGGGTTCCCAGACTCTTGAGTGACCAGTGACTGTAAACAAGCAAGGGAAGCCATTTGCAAGAAGCGTTTCATTCCAACATTGACTGCAGAGTAAACCCATGAAACTTTCCACAAAGAAAACTGTGGAAAGACTTTGGAACGATGGAGATTCGAGATGCAGATAATCAGGCAACATTGCTCCTGTCATTGGTAGCCGCTCAACAAAGCAGGCTGCAATCGAGGCACAGCTTTGCTCTCAAGACTTGTCAAAGCACTTCCTGTTGGCCAAAGCGCCATAGCGTGCTCGGTGTGCTGATGTGTGAACTTCCTGAAGTTCTTGGCTGGAGTCTGGATTTGAACTGCTCACACTCGCATCAGATACTCGTTAGAAGCCTATGAGCAGAGCCTGGCTGAGGGCTTGTTAGCCAAGCACCCAGCTGAAAAATGCTGTAAAGTGGTTCAAGGATGTTCAAGGGTGATTCTGCACCATTCTGTTCAAGCATGTTCAAGCGAAGTTTCGCAATGTCAAGACAAGTCCCACCTCTGATTGAGCCTCCTGGACAAGGCACGTATGATGGGGAAGACGGGAAGTGGGTCTGGCTGTACATGTTTGGACCTGGCTGGTGCAAGTGAAACAACAAGTACACAACAAGTGTGTAACAAGTGTCAAACCGCATCACGCAAGTCGGACGCAGATTTTCTCTTGCACCCGAAAGCAGTTCTTGCAAAGCGCAGGGCACTGCCTCTTGCTTCCGGCATCTTTCGGCATCTTTCGGCTCATCCCGGCTCAAACAGCTCAAGGCTAAGCCATAAAAGCCAAGTGCATTCTCCAACCGAGCAACGAAGAAAGCACTCGTGAATCATGATGATATATGATGATCAACTGGAGACTTATGGAAACAGAGCACTTGCATAGCACTTGCGCTTGCAATGGGAATTGGGTCAAGATAAGCATTGCATATATATCACATAGCACATTACAGCACTACATGAAGGCAGCACAGAAGAATCTGTTCTACTTCGGACACAGGCCATGCAGTCTGCCCGCTTCTCGGTGAAGTGGAACCTCTCTGTTTTGCATCAATTCTGCGGTGCCGTGCTGCTGCCTGCTGGCCTGCTGTGCTCAGGATCAGGCAGCGCGGTGGCGGCAGAACTTTCAAAAAGCAAAGACTACGGCTGCGCAGGCGAGGACGCGATACTGCCCCGCTTACGCTGTAAAGTTGCAGAATGTTGCAGAACACATGTCAGTGATTTCTCTTAATGTTGATCAGTTTGCCTTTGGGCAACTCGATATGATAACATCCATGACAATCCATGACAATGGATGATAATCCATGATATATATATATATATTAATAATTATATATATATGATGATGTATATACGTATAATATCTAAGCCTCTAAACAGATCTGATTGAATCCAGTCCTATTTTTCATGGTTCGTCCGCCCTCCAAGGTCCAGGCTGAACTCCAAAAGTTGGATCTCCTCACTGGACAAGACACGGCCCAACGAAGTGCATATCTCAATGGATCAGCTGAATTATCTCCAGATGGTGTGCAAAGATCATCAAATATGACCACAATGTGACCAACAGTGCGGAAATTAGACAATTCGAACACCAGAAATTTCGCACGATCCAGACATCTGCGTGTCGAATCACATATGGAGAGGTGAGCGACAGAAAATGAGTGCTACTATCAGGGGCAAGGCAGGTGCTTAGTGTCAAGCCGTGTGTTTTCCTATTTTTCCTGTTGTCGTGCGATCCGAAGTCACCAGTACGTCAGTACGGGTTGAAGGCCAGCCAGTTGAAGATTGAGCTTGACCAGCTGCAACGTGGTTTGGACAGTCCCTTTCTGAGAACAAGGGATGAAACATCGGGGATCATCCAAGGCTTCTTGGTTTACCCAACATCAGCGTAGTTCTGCATGTTTCATCGGAAGATATGGTTGATACAAGTTGATCCTGTATATGTTGATATGACCTTAAAGCAGAACACAGCCAAGGTCTTAGCAGCAACAGCGCTGAGAATGAGGCCAGGGTGGCAAGTGCCAGAGCCGAAGAACTGGAACCCGTAAAGCACCGTTGCGTATCCTTTGCATAGCCTTTGCGTTTTCAGGTGACGCGGAAGTCCATCACCCAATTCAGAGATGAGCTTGCACAGGCAGGCCTTGATGGTCTGTAAGGGCAAGAAAACATGATTCTTCAGCTCTTGCGGGATTTCGTGCTGATTTCCTGGCAAGAACACACAGTTTTGCCCTCTGCAAAATCTTGTATGCTTTCCATTCCCCCTACATTTTTCCACCTTAGATCCTTCACCCATCTTCACGCTCTTTCCAGCTCTGCTTGCTTTCTTTGTGTAGAGGTTGTGGCCGAGCATCAAGAGATCCAGAAGCGTTTACGCCCTTCAGCAGCGCCTGAAACCAACGGCGCGGAGTCCTGGAAATTGCCGGAAGTTCACCAAAACCAGCCAACATATACCAACATTTAGAATTCTTTGGAATTTCTGGTTTCTTTGGAATTCCTTTATGTTTCTTTCATACGAATCTGGTTTGTTTTTGTATGTTTTTGTGTAGTGAAATGTTGTGAAGTTTCATGAGGCATTGCCAGACCGGAGCGAGGTGGCGGGTTCAACTTTTGATTTCACAGTGTCAGTGAAAGCGACCCGAAAAAATCGAAAGCTAAAGTTTGGTTTCACGATAACGATGACAACGACGGCTTCAGGTGCAGAGATGCAACCAGCCACTTGGCACAGGGGAACGATGGGATATGGCGGATATGGCAGTTGAAGCCGTTGAAGTCGCCATTCGTAGCTTCGTAGCCTAGTCGTTGCGAGGTCTCCCAGCGGCAAATGCTCGAGCGACAACAACAAATGATGAGGCCTTGGCAAAACTTCGTTCCGAAGCCCAGTCTTTCTGCTATTTTCTAGTTAGCGATAGTTTGCGTGTTTTCTTGATCTCATTTTATAACAATTTTAAGGTGTTGCAACGTGTTGCAACGTGTTGGCTGGACGGGGGGGTTAGCCCCGTTTTTACTGGGTTGCTTTTGGGGTTGGGGGGGGTGGGGTGGGATGTCAACGTTCATGTTACGCTGATGATGTTACGCTGATCATCTGGGGTTGGGGTGGGGTGGGGTGGGATGTTAACGTTCATGTTACGCTGATGATGTTACGCTGATCATCTGGGGTTGGGGTGGGGTGGGGTGGGATGTTAACGTTCATGTTACGCTGATGATGTTACGCTGATCATCTGGGGTTGGGGAGGGGTGGGGTGGGATGTTAACGTTCATGTTACGCTGATGATGTTACGCTGATCATCTGGGGTTGGGGAGGGGTGGGGTGGGATGTTAACGTTCATGTTACGCTGATGATGTTACGCTGATCATCTGGGGTTGGGGTGGGGTGGGGTGGGATGTTAACGTTCATGTTACGCTGATGATGTTACGCTGATCATCTGGGGTTGAAGATGTCTCGTGGATGGAAGACAAGTGAAAAAAAGGGCTCAACATGCAAATGTGTCGCCGCAACAAACCCCTGTAAAAGTCAATGACACAACATAACCATGTTTGAAAATTGTCATTTCGCCACGGCGAAACACTCCTTTTTGATCATGTGACTTTGCCTTTGACACATCAATGAAAAAAAGAGCTCAAAATGCAAATGTATCGCGGCAACAAACCCCTGTAAGGGTTGCTCCCAACATCCATTTTTTTGAAAAAATGAAAGTTATGTTGACACCGCTAAGCAGAACTCAAGTCAATGACACATCATAAGCATGTTTGAAAACTGCCATTTCGCCACAGCGAAACACTAATTTTTGATGATATGCACTTTGCCTTTGACAGACAGACGAACCAAAACAATTGGAAGCGGGGCTAACCCCCCCGTCAACCCAACGTGTTGCAACGTGTTGATCGTGTTGATCGTGTTGATCGTGTTCGCGTAATTTTGCTACAGTTCTTATAGTTCTTGGAACGCCTTGGAATGTTGGTGGTGGAATGATCTTTGGTAGCCCGGGCTACTTAGCCTTTTGCCATTTCAATTTTTATAGCTGGACTTGCAGGGAGATGGATGCGCCCTTAGCAGCGCTGGAAGGCTCAGTCAACAATTTGCAACAGGCGCATGTGGGGCGTACTGTAAGACTTTGGACACGGGTCCTCTTCATACTCTGACTAACTCGAGACGTCTCTTCGGTCTCGCCTCAAGCTGGCCCAACATCGAATTGAATTACCGTTGAACATCGTTGAAACTTTGTGCCATTTTGTGCCGATTTATTCTTGCACATTTGAATCATCTGACACAGATTCTGAAAAGACGCCGAAACTTGAAGCTCGATTTGGAATGTTGAGGGTGGTGAAACGTGTCTGTTGTGGAGGTGAGCTATACGATTCGGAACGAGATTTCCATGCAGAACAGGCTTCTGGACAACACGAACCAGGTGGGGTCGGGGCAACTAGCGGGGCAACCTACCCCTGCAAGACTGTGTCAAGACAGATATTGACATCCCTTGCTTTCTTGAAGCTCTCCTGAACGTGCCTTTAAGATCCTTTAAGATTCTTTGAGAATCTCTTTAAGATCTTTATTATTTTTTAGGTCAAATCGACATTACATTGTTACCCCGCCAGACAGCTGATCGAGCATCTTCTCGTTTGAATCGAGCTCGTTCGTTTGGATGCCCGGACAAGCAAAGTGTCAAAATTTTGGATGGAACATGTGATGAGACGCGATGAACAACAGATACCAGGGCTTTGTGCCCTTGTCGAAGTTCAGCAAACGTTTGCAATAATGTGAGTGTTGCAGCGAATATGAAAACATGTGGACGGCAGCTGATGACCGAGGTTGCTAAATCGCTTAACCACGGTGAACCAAAACCGCTGCTTGGGGCTTTCTGCCAGAGGCCTCAGGACACGATGTAGCCATCAGCCATCACGTAGGCGTCACGTAGCCGTCATATAGGTGTGATCCCTAAGGCCCTAACCCATTTTAAAATTTTTTGTGTGAGACTTCCAGCGCCTTCTGCTGTATCGCCATCCGCATCTGCCAAGGTGGTTCTGCTTTTCGCTTGCTTGGTGGCCCTCTTCATTTATGTACTTTCTTGACACTGCGCATGCTCCAAGTCTTTTTCGTTGCCAGTGTGCTGAGTACAGTCGACTCGAAATGTTGTGAAACAACAATGCGCCGTGACGCCATGTGGACAAGACATTCACATGACGCGTCGCCATGCGTCGCCTTCTTTTCCCAAGCATAGCACAGGTGCTTGGCTCGTGCCAGAGTGGCCAACAGGGTGTGCAAAGCTATGGGCCTCATCTCATTTCGGCCAACAGCAGACCTATGGTTGCTCTAGGATCATTCTAGAAGAATGAATAAGACACACTCAGTTGTTATAAACTGTTAGATGAATGAGATTTAAACTAAGTGCAACCTGCATTGTGATTGATCCAAGCAGAATTTGCCATCGTCCATTTGGACACCCAAAGGCAGAACTTGCCTGCAAAGCTTTCTGCTCTAAACAAAACCCGGAGTTGAACAAGAAAAGTTTGAAAGCACTTCAATGGAACGCAGTTCTGTCTGAGGAGTTTGCAGTCGAGTATGTGATTTTCAACACTGGAGGGTGTTGTATTTCGCAAAGGTTTGACTGCTGCCAGTGGAACGACAAGGCAAAAAGATGTGAAGCCCTGGGGCCCTGGACGAGCTGATTCACGGTGGACCCTTTGGACCCGGTGGACAGATCACAGATGTGCCAGGCAACAAGTGCAGGTGATGTCCTGTGAGGCCCAACTTGGGACGTGACTGGAAGCTCCCGAGAAATTCGGAAGATTTCCATCGCTGTTCAGATCAGATGGCACTAGCCGCACCAGCCTTTGGCGCCAGTTCTCTGGTGTCTCTGTGAGGTGCTCGCTCTGACCTTTCCCGTATGGCAGAAGCATCTCCAGCATCTCTGGCAGATTGTTGCAGATTGAATATGATTGAACCAAAGTTGAATCAAAATTGAATCAGATTCAACCTAATGATACTGCGTGTTCTCCAGTATCATTCTAGTATCTCCACTCCGTTGCTAAGTTGGAAGTAACTCCAGTGCCAGGACTGCATTGCCCAAGCGAGGTGGGGAACGTTTCAGATCCTTCGGGTTCCTTCGGTTCAAGCATCACAAGATTCCAATGCTTGTGACGAACGCTCCCACTCACATTTCTAATGCAAGCTATAGATTGCTCTCTTGACATTCCTGAAGATGAACTAGATTCAACATGATTCAACTAGACTGTACGTAATTATAAACAGATGATAGATAATAGATAGATAGATTCAGATAATAGATTCAGATATTGACGAATATTGAACCAGATACGAATCATACGCTTCAACCGGATCTTGCAAGGTGCCTCTGGACCTGGCAAGCAGGACCGCTGTTGGCATCGCCTAAAATACCAAGGCCATAGAAAAACAAAAACCATTGGGACCATAGAACAACCAACAGTATAGCCATAGAAAGCCATGGAATACCATAATGGTGATGACATGTGATGACATATATTTACTAACCATATGGAGAAAAGACATGTTCGCCAACTGTCCTGCTTTTTTGTCAGGACGGTGATGAGGTCCTTGAGAGACTGGCGCTGCAAACCCTGGCGCTCTACCAGGCTTCACGAATATATTATATCATGATATCGAGAACTAATGCAAATTCAAGGAGTGAAAACCAGAAACAAGCTGCAATTTGACAACATGGACTTTGGACATCTTTGGACGTTTTTTTTTTTAAATATACCTTTTGTGGTTTGGGTTTGTGGGTGATTTCACAACTAAAGGAGCCCCACATGGCTGGTGCGGCTTCAGCCCTGCTACTCCAGGTGGGACATGTGAGGATTGAGACAGCAGGACCTGCAACCGGATGCCGGTCACCCGGTCACCCGGTCACCCGGTCAGGTTGGAAATGCTGATGCTACCGCTTTGCTGCACGTCATGAGCAAGGCACGTATAGAAAGTGGTTTGAGGGAGATGAACTGTAGAACTTGCGGAAATCCTGCAATGGCAATGATGTCAACGATGTCAACCATGTCAACGATGTCAACAGACAGTACCAATGCTATCTGGTGGCAATTGTTGGCGATGTTGTGACTGTGTTTCCAGGCTGCTGTGCGTGTTGACATCAGCCCTGCTTATGCGCAAGGGTCTCAGTTTTTTTTTTGGCGGGCATCGGCCAACAGATTCTTCAGCTCTGCCAGATTGTGCATTTTGAACGTCGTCACTTGATGTCTGATCATTGATCACATTTGGTCCCTCATGGCATGTTTAGTCGGTCTCCGGTTTAATGATTTGGTGGTTGGAAGGTCCTCAGCTTTGTTGATGCTGCAACTCTTTGTGCAACGAGCTCCAGAGAAGGCTCAGCTCGTGGACCCGACTTGCACAACTTGATTGACATGGGCGAATGCTGGGCGCTGTTGAGATGCTGACAGCAATGCTGGGCAGGTTTGTCCACTTCTGCCTCGTTTCGCAGAGGCGCAAAAAATGCTCCTGCATTGCTGATATGCACGACATATTGTCCCATTTGTTTCTTGGAATAGATAGTATCAGTATGTATCAGTGATCAGTATCGATGCGTTTATCTATACTAAATCAATCAAAAACATATATCCATAAATATATCCGTTCTGCCGAAATTTGTGGCCTACCGGCTATGACCGCAACGCGAGGCATTGTTGCGCTGCTTGGAGCCTTCAGACCCAACCTTGCGACGGCACAGGCTGAGCATCAACCGTGCCCGGTTGTCCTATGGTCCTATGTGGGACATTCGACAAAGATTACAAATGCGGTCAGAACATCCAAAAAAATCCAAGCCTACACCGAATCTGTTTGGATTTGGAAGTGGATGTGAATGGATTCTGATGGGTTCTCCAATTCTCTCGTGACCTTGCCAGTCTTCTTGCGGTAACAAGTGCCTTGCACGAAATGGTGCAGACCTTTCCGATGGTAGACCCTTGGCTCTGCAGGTGAGTTTTCCAGCCCTTTCACACAATGAATGGTAAGCATCATAAAACGCGTCAACTTTCATTTTCATGCATTGAAATGGCATGAAATGGCAATGGAATTGCAGAGAATCCTCAAGTTGCACGTTTGCGCTCACGAAGCTTGAGGACTTCCATCAAGACAGCCAAAAGTAGGGAGCTCAGGGAGCTCTGCTGTTCCGGACAGTGAGGTGTCCGGCCGCATTTGTCTGGCCGCGTGTCCAGCTTCCCTTGTCACTGAGGTTCGCAGTAGGGACTGGCGATGGAGTTATCCTGGTTTATGACCTTCGAACTGCAACGAAGTGGCGCGTCTTCGAGGTGCACGTGTGGCGTCTTCTGCTACTGCGGCAGACTGGATTTGGCTGAAATAGCGGATCTGCACAAATGATTTCTTGAAAGTTTCCGTTTCAAGCCATGTCTAGATTCATCCTCTTGGGGTGCAGGGTCACAACGGTATGGTGGCTGGGTTGGCGTTCACGCAAGATGCTGCCCGCTTAGCATCGTTGGGGAGCTCAGAAAGGCTGCTTGAAGAGTGTTCGTTTAACTTTGGATCTGTTATACCTGCGTGCGAAGGCAAGAAGCTTTCTTTGCATCATGATGAACTGTTGGATGTAAAGACATGTAAAGACAGCATCTACCGACTGTGGGTCTAATGATGTCTGATGTTTGCGCACTGACCGCAAAGGTACAGTAGCTTGGACTCCACGGTGCGTTTGTGGCAAACAGGAACTGGAGGCAAAGTGCTCATGATGATGTGCGACGGGGTGGTTTTTGAATATAGCTTAGAAATGCTTAGAATTATTTAGATTTAAGACAATTTAAATTTAAACTGATTCAATTTGTTTTAAGATGATTCAAGATTATTCGAATGATCATTTGTATTTTTGTTGTCTGATGCTTCTGCGCGGCAGGTTTTTTTGGGCTCGGCCAAAGCAGTCGGTGCATCCGCCAGCAGATGCCCCTTGGCATATTATTTTGAGTGCCAAGCTGTGAAGCGGTGTCATGTTGAAAACTCCAACCAGCGCAGCCAGTTGAAACCAAACTTTAAAGTTTCAACACCATATGACAGGGAATGAGATCCGGATGCTTTCTTGAAACAGATACGTGATACTGATGCAATCTGATGCATGATTTCGTACGGCCCCAAAAAACAATTGTTCCACATCTTTGCTGAAGTGCTGGTCACCGTCTCTACTCGTTTCTCAGGTTGCCACCTCTTCAGGGTGTTGGAAACTGGAGGACAATCGAAATGTAGTGCAGACATCATTTGAGGTCCATTTAAAACAGCACTTTGCCACTGAAGATCTACATATGAGACTTATTAGACATATTTTTCCATAATCAATAATTGTGTTGTTCTTTCTTAATTATCTTTCTTTTTCTGTTTTGCGTTATTTATCAGCTGCCTTGAAGGTGTTTTCTTGTTGGAAGCGCCCTTGCAATCGCTTGCGCCGATCCAGGGCTGTCTCTCTCCGTTGCTCAGAGCGTGGGGTAAAGCTTGTGCGAGAGAATGGTTGCTTGGCTGTCGGACAGGCTGTCGGACAGATTCGGACAGATTGAATCGTTTTGTATAGTCTGTAAAGTTATATAATATATTATAATATATGTATAAATGGAAGGCATGACTTGAATTTGGAGCTCAACATGTCTAAGCTTGGAAAATATGGTTTGCAACTTTTTGAACTAAGGCGACATGCTGCATCTTGGCATGAGCTGAAAGCGTCTTGAAAACGGGCATCTCAGAGCTTCACCATGCTTCTCCACTATCTTTGCAAAACAATTCTTTGCAGACCAGAACTAGGCCACCAACCCCATTTCAATCGTTTCGAAGCCTGCACTCATCTGGAAGCTCATGTAGATGTCAAAACCATTTTCCTGCACATCACCAGCTGATGATCAATTAGGATCAGCATTCAGCATGTACATAGTGACGCAGGACATCGCAGGACATCGCACTGCAGTCATCATGCAGTCGGATGATTTTTTCGAGCCGTTGCGAGGTGACACACGCCTTCCTCATGACATAGGACCATTTTATCAAAGGGATTCAAAGGGCAGGTATTTTGTTGGGAATTGAGTTATTTGAGTTGAACTTGCCCCATCATTTTGTGTGCCATGTATGGCTTGAAATACGGTTTAACTTTAACATGTTTTAACATGTTTTAACATGTTTGCATCGTTTGGCACTTTGGCATCTGTGGTCACTCCTGTGGCTGGGCTCTAAACTGCACAGAGTGGGACACCAGCGTCCCCTACAATAGTGCCATGTGCCACCTTGGACCGCCACAATTGCCTTACTTCAAACATCTCAAACATGGAATCAAAACAAATTCAAAACAGATTCAAAACAAATTCAAAACAATTGCAAAGTTGTCAAACATATCCGCAGTGTGACATAGACTGTGTGACCCGATCGCTGGCATAGCTTCTCCTCGGGGCGCGGCTGCGGACCTGGACGGGCGAGAATCTCAGAATCTCTGGAGGAAATGATGTGATTGGTCGAGTAGATCCACCTAGCTCACCTAGCTCACCTAGCTCACCAAAAAGTCAATGTGTGATATTGATTCATATGGTTTAATGATGTTTAATGATGTTTAATGATGTTTAATGATGTTTAATTCTTCATTCCCCCAAAATGAGGAAAGATAAGAAGCGCCGACCATCGCCGACCCCTTTACTCATCGACGGAGTTTTTTTGTCAGAGCCGACTCAGATCGACGGAGATGATTCAATGCCACCAGCGGCCTTCAATCACCACCACGCCACAGGCAATGCGAACATCGAAATACGAAATCAAAAAGGAAGGTCATGCTATGAATCCTTATGAGTCCAGATATCTTCAGACTCTTCACTTTGTGATACTTTAGCCAGATGTTACAGATTTTTGTTGATTTTTGCCAGATTATTCTGAGAACTTTAGCGCTTGACTCCAGTGCAGCTCGAGAATGCAGCCCTGAAAGGTTCTACCCCACTTACCGCCCGTGCTCGAGGTTCGGGATTTGCAGGAGGTCTTCCCCCCATTAACCCTCACAAGTGTGGGAATGGACGGTAGCTGTGTAGAAACATGAATGTTACACAAACGTTACATAGATATACATGGATCCATCATAGATCCATAGATCCATAGATCATATCTTGCGTATGGAAACAACATAATATTTAAATGATATTTAATTTATAGATTATGATACATACACACACGTATATATATATATATATGTATACATATTGCCGCACCGGTCCTGCACATGAATTCCTTTCAGAAACAGATTCCAAACACCAAGTCGCCAGGATCTTGACTCTATCAGCAATGTGGACGACGCCAACGATGCCTGTTCTGCAGTGACCTTAGCAATTTGACCAAAAACTGCAGCGTCAAATTGTTACAAGTCGCGCATGGCCAAGGTCGAACATCCACGTTTGCAATGTTTGCAAAAGTAGAGTTTCCAATGTTTGAGACAATGTTTTCAATATATTTTCCCATACCTTTCCAATGCATTGACATGGATCATATGGGTTCACACAGTTGATTTTTCTCTAAGGTGACTGCTGCCAGCAACATTGGAAGTGCCGCTTTGGCTGCATCGACCTAGCATGTCATTTTGAGCGAGTGTAATGTGTATTCTTTGTCGTTCTTTGTCTGTATATGTATGTATGTGTAATCTATTGCAATCTATATATGTTGCCCTCTGGTTATTTAACATAGCAATGGGAAATGACCCATTTATAGATGGTTTACCTATTAAAAATGGTGATTTCCATGGCTATGCTAAATAACTAGATGGTACATGTTGTTGCGTGATTCAGTGGACCCGGATTCGCTGGATTCGCTGACCGCTCGCCGCGATTTTTAGCGCCAAGAAATGATGAGAGCGCTGGTCAGGTGTCGCAGCTGAGCGATACTAAAGCGAGTTTGCTTTCTCACCAGGCCCGGCCCAGCACGGTACAGCACTACCGTTCAACATGCTTCAACATGGTTGGTACAAGTTGGCTTCGCTTTGCAACTTGGAAGTTTTGAAACAATCGAAACAATCATCCTGTTTTGCACGTTGCGCCGACTTTCAACGTCCAACGTGCTGCCCAGTCCAAGCCCTTTTCCGCTTTCTCCGCGCCGTCAAGGGCTCAGGACCCTCAGGATGCTTTGGATCGCCTGTCTGCAGTTCGAGATGTCAGGAGATGTCAGGAGATGTCAGGAGTTATGAAACCGTAGTTATGATATGAAACGTAGATGAAACCATCATTGGTAAAATTTTAATTCTAATTGGTACATACGATTCCATCATTTGACGAATCTACCTGGTTACCGACAAGTCTACCTGTGTGGGCAAAGAAACATGCCAGGCCACGCTATCGGAACAGTGGCGCATTTGTCCATGGCACAAAGTTCAGAAACTTTGGTCCAATAATGGAACAAGGACAGATGATGACAATTGTCATCAAGAGAGCAGATGATGAGCAGATGATCAGAAAGCATTTAATTATTCATATTCACTGTATTTACTCCACTTTCACCATATCACTGGCCGCCAAAAAGGCTCATGGTTCTTGCCCTTGCTTTTACTGCGGCTGCTGTCGCTGCTGTTCCTCCTGTTGGTGAAGCTTTATGACACATTCTGCTTCCGGAAGGACTGAAAGCTGCAAAGAGTGAGATCTACATGGTTGACGATGTGCGGCCAGATGGTCGTGTTGGGTGCTTAGGTCATCTTACATATCTTACATGACGCTTGTGGAGCCGGAACCGTCCAGATATGAGTCCTGTGAGGTCCCTGGGCTAAAGCAAGCACCAGAGATCCTAATTTTCATCGATGAGGACAAGGTGTCGACAAAATTGGCCCGGCAAATTGGTGACAGTAACACACATTCAACACATTCAACACATTAAACACATCAAGTCGCCAAACGAGTTCATTCTTTGGCCTCTTAACATTACGTAACATCTGTGAACTGGGCAGGCACGACGAGAGCATATGCATTTCGAATATGATGCACGGGACTCAGATGCGACTCAGTGCCCATGCTTGCGGAGATCTATTGCCTGGAAGCAGACTTCTTAAGAAGCTCTGGGCACCAGCTGCCCTGAAGTCTAAGTCAGTGTGAAGACGGTGTGAAACCACGTGAGTGGAGAACATGCATTGGCACAGATTGTCAACCTGCGACACTTTTTCGAGGCCAGAGAAGGCACTTGGAAGACACGAGGAATTGACGGAGTGTTGGTACCTCAGACCGGAAGCCACTACATCATACAACATCACTCAGCCAGGACTTCATTTGGGATGGATCAAATCATCAAATCTGGGATCTGGGATCATCATGGATCAGAATCCAAAGAATCCAGATATATCCAGATTTGAGTTCCCAAATTCTTCATCTTCTTCTACGATTCTACAATATTTGATTCAACCGATTGACGTATATCATCCATGGACGTCTCGATGGACGGATCTCCGAGGATCCGACCATGGTTCTTCCAGAAAGTCATCGATCAGCGCCGAGGACGAGGTGCTCCCGGCAGCCCCAACCCAGCACCAGCTGCCACCAGCTGCCACCAGCTGCCATGAGATCAGCTGCTCAGCCAGGAAAAGGAAACATTCTCTTCCAATCAAAAGAGGATCCGCTGATGCAGGTCCGGGTCCCAAAATCATGAGATATCTGTGGTAGATTCAGAATGCATGCTGAAACGTGCACTGAAGATGAACATAGAATAACATATTAACTAACATATATTTATATAGTATAATTTATTTATTGATATTGATTTTATATGTTTTTATTATATCTTATTGATCTTACATTAGTCTAATATGAATCTATATGAATCTATATGAATGTGTACCAATTCAATGTGTACCTTTCCAAAGGATGCCGATGTCGAGATCCTTTGAGTCTCTCGCAGCGTTGGCCTCAGGCGGGCAAGCTGCAAGGGCCAGTAAGGCCGAGGCGCGCCACACGATTTCGGCGGAACTTGCTATATTTGCTGTATATTCTATTCATTTCTATTCGTTCTATTAATATTCTGCTCATTTCTGCTCATATTCTGTTATTTCTTTTGTCTCTTAAATTCCTTTGGTCTCTTTGTTGGTCTTCACTTTCATGCTGGCTTTTGCCACATTGCCACATCTGTCTTTTGTTGGATTTTGTTGGCTTCTTCTAATTCTAAGCATCTTCATTTTTGCACTCCTTGCTATTCCCTGCTGTGCTTTGGTTTGGCAGCGGTCGGAGACAGCCCAAGGTACCTGTTGCATGCCACCTACTGGGAAAACGTCGCAGGCATTCTCGCTGAAGGCAGGATGAAGCTTGCCAAGACGAGCCAAGGAATTTCTTATGTGAAGCATGCAACATTGAACTGAATGACACTGCAGAAACTGATATGAAAGTGGTTGCAGGCATTGTGCCAGCAAAAAATCCTCTTTCCGATATTAGTCACTTGGCAGCGCTAGTGCGAAGTTGGGCAGTGTCATGGAGAGATGAATTGAACATGCTGCATGAGGCTGCATGGTCACTGCATGTTCAGTGGACTGTCATGTTTCTTGTCGTAGGATACACTTGAACTTTCCAGCTGCACGGCGCTGAGGAAAGCCTTTCAAAGATCTCTTGCAGGGCGCAGAGTCCACAGCTGAGCAGTGTCCCAGTGTAGGCCCAGTGTAGGCCCGTAGGCTGAAGGTTCGAACCTTGCATGGAGCTTCCAAGACCCAAGTTTCTGCATCTTGCGGAAGAATATGGGAGAATATGGAAGAATGTGCAGCAATGTGGAGCTGAATCTGAGGTCCCATGTATACACCATGCGTCACCCTTTCTTGCTTGGCTGAACCTAGCTGACTTCCGCCGATTTGGGCCGATCTTCGCAGTGTTTTCAAGCGTTTTCATATGTCAACGCGGGAGACGTGGCATTGTCCTATGATACCTATGATTCGTTCACGATGTTCATTGAGTAACTCACCGATGTTCGATGGGGTCGGCAATGCCTTGCCAGGCAGCACAGATCTTGGGTGCCCCGAGATGAAGGTCGGCCAAGGGCTGGTGCTTTTACTAAAGAATGGAAGACCCCAGATTCGGAAGAAACGTGAACCACCATAAACAACACATATCGTCTTGATTTCTTCACAATTCTGCATTATTTTTTTCGATACATTTCTGAGTTTCGATTCTTTGATCTCTTGGAGTTTGGCGTCTGACAATCGATTTGTACTCCGGAAGAATCATCGAGATGCGCTAGAATGTGTCAAACGCTGCCTGGTTTGAAGGAGAGAAGCAAGACATGCAGGTCACATTGGATTGGTTGGAAATGTTCAGAGTCTCTTGCACAAGTTCAAGCATATAAAGATGCGCGGTTCATCACTTTTCCATAGTTAAAACTCAACATGTTTGTTTTAATCTCCGAACGTGGTAAAGTCAAAATTCCTGAGCCATGGCACCACAATTAGTCTCGCTCGAAGAAGCTCGTGCTTTGGGTCTTGGAAAGACCCCTCCAAAATCTGGAGTGTCAGAGTTTGAGACTGAGAAGGCTGCACTCAAGGCCTTTGGAATCGATTTGGCGGAGGATCATTTAGAGGGCTACAAGTACAAGCCAGAACGATCATTTGCCATCGAGCGTGACACGAATCTGGTGAAGCGCCCATGGGACCTGCCCATCATTGACCAGCTGGGAAAAGATCATGTGGCCATTTGCAAAGACTATGAGACATGGGACAACCCTGAATTCCATTTGGAGATTCGAGAAGGCATCGCGTATTGCACTCTCAACAGGCCAGATGCCAACAATGCAATGAATGATGGCATTGGTGGTGGTCTCCATGATGCTTGCAGAATTCTTCGAGAACGGTTGGATGTGCGAATCGTGGTCTTCACCGGCAACGGCCGCATGTTTTGTGCTGGAGGAGATCCCAAATCTTTCCAAGCCGCACAGAGACAGGCAGGTGCCATTGGTGCAGATGGAGCAGGAGCCCAAGGACCCCCACCTGGAGTTGTCATTGCTCAGTCTGGCAGAATGCTGATAGAGGGCAACAAGATGTCGGCTGCTGGCTTTGCCCGGGACATGTATTCCATGGCCACCTTGCCACAGTTCACCATTTGTTGCATGAATGGTTCTGCCATGGGCGGTGGATTCGGATTGGTGTGTGCCTGTGACTATGTCATTGCCACCAAACAGGCGCACGCAACACTGTCTGAGGTGAAGTTGGGTGTCATTCCAGCCGTGATTTCGCCCCATGTGTCCAGAACTATCGGCACTGCCAACTGCAAGCGCTTGTTTTGCACGGCAGAAAATGCCAATATGCAGACAGCCATGGAGATTGGACTGGTTCACAAGATCGTTGACCATCCAAGGGACTTTTCAGCAGCTGTGCGAGAAGTTGCACAGAAGATCCAGTTGTTAGCACCAGGTGCTGTTGGTGCAACAAAACAAGTGCTGATGGATTGCCTCAACCAACCAATCTCAAACAGTCTCATTGAGTACACGGCCAAAGAATACTTGCGAGTTCGTCGAGGAAAGGAGTGCGAGGAAGGCATGGATTCATACAAGAGCAAGCAACGGCCTCCATGGGTTCAGAAAGTTATTGATGTCAAGGAATCCGAGGACAAGTGAGGTCCAAGTGAGGTCCAAGTGAGGCCCATAAAGCCACGCAAAGACACTCAGAACAGTTAGATACCTGTCTTCTAATTCATCGCTTTCTATATACCAATTATACCAGAGGTAGTGTTGGACTCTTCCTGTTGGCCTGCAGATGGCTCGCGCGCTCGAAAATGCCATTTGCCTAGTGTGCAGGATTCGCAGGATGCAATATATGGGTCTTGATGAAGAAATCGTTCAGAAGGTTTCCTCGCTCTTAGTTCACCCACAGCTGATGTATTATGGAGTGAGATAGGGAACGCGATCGAGGTACCAGATTGACTTTAGGCTGCACCTCTGCTGTAGCTAACATCAAAGATTTCTCACCGAGTACGAAGCAGTGTCATGTTAGCAAGCTGCGCAATGTAGCGGTGCAGCATGGATTAGTCAGATGGCAAAGGGTTCAAGGTGCAGCCACTTTTTTCATCTTTTTTCCATGTTCCAAGGTGTTTTCCACTTGTCTCATCTTGTCTCATCTTGTCTCATCTTGTCTCATCTTGTCTCATCTTGTCTCATCTTGTCTCTTTGTTTCTGCAGGCTGCGAATTTTCTCGTCGACAAGGAGCAGGTTGGACTCGATCGGCAACCAGATGCAATCTTTGTTGCTTGGCGCAGGAATCTAAAACACATCATTGATTGATCCATTGGAGTGACAGTCACAAATTCCATCTGAACGGACAGATTTAGATAGAATTTCAGCTCGCAGCTTGAGCTTTGCCTTGTTTCTTGCTGTTTGCGCTGAAAGTTGAGCCATGTCCCAAGGTTATTGACACCAGCAAAGCTGAGAAGATGGGGATTGATCTGGAACTAGCCAAACTCTCAGCAGATTAGCCGATGCGGCAGATTTCGACTTGGTGGACAGTGCATCCTCTTGCTGATTCGTGAATTTCTCTTAAGTCTCGTCACCCAGAAGCGTCCATTTCTTCTCTCTTCAATCTTCGTGCTTTGAGTTTTAAGGTCCAGTCTGGCGACGACCGTGAGGACAACATCTATGTTCGAGGTGTGGCCCATTGTGGCCCCAATGTTTGGTCATGGTCAAAGCATTTTCGCCATGGCCTGGTGCCGGGGTGTCCCTGTCAGATTTATTGTGAACTGGTCTCTGGTTCGAATTGGGAACAGGATGTGTTCAAGCATGTTTCAAATGTTTCAAGTCATTCTTCTTGTGATCATAAATCAATGCCTGTGACACTGTGTGCAGGTAGAGTTCCTGCAGAAATCCTTACAGCGCAGCCGAACATACCTCGGAATCTTCCAGAGGCATTGAAGGCGCAAACCACAACCCTGTCATACTCCGTGTCTCTCCACAATTTATTTTCAATCCAACATGAGTTCTGTGCTATTCAGCTGCTATTCTCTGTTAATCGGCAGAGAGCAAGACAAAAGGCGAAGATTGTGGATCCAAAGTCATTCGAAGAAGTTCCCATCATCGACTTGTCTTTGGACGAGGCGACATGCACAATCTCTATAGATATTGACAACTTGAGTATAGGTGGGATAACGACCAACTCTATTGCAGCACGCATGCAACACAACTTGAGAAAGAACTCCAGCTATGAGCTTTCCATGCATGACTTATGAATGTTTGAAGAATATCCTGCAGGTCCTTTCCTTTCTTGCGGCTCTCGTCAATGTTTTTTCCCATTTTTCCTTTGTCGAACTCGAGGAAGAAATCGTGAAAAAGCTGAAGTTCGCCTGCGAGGCCTGACCGATGACCGAAGCCGGGCTGATGCCAAGATCGCTGATCGCTGTGCCTCGCCTTGGCCGTGCCAGGTTGTGGGCTTCATGCAGGTCACGGGGTGGTGAGCTTAGTGAAATATTTCTGCAATTTTCTGCATATCTTTCCCGTTTGTAAGGGTAATGTGCATAATTACATGTAATTGCATTTTCTGCTATATCTTGCGGATCTCTGCTTGATGTGTGGCAGCCAATTCACCATTTGATTTTGATGCAGTCCGGCAGTTGGCTATGAGTCTCACCGCCCAAAAGCAGTTTGCTGAGGCATGGCATATCAGTTGAACTGCAGGAACGCGCCATGGTTTGGGACCCTGGTCATCTGCTGTACATTTTTCTGACTTTGTAGGGCTTTGACATCATTGACACTCTGATCCTCCTCATCCTCCTCCTCCTCATCCTCATCATCCTCCTCATTCTCCTCCTCCTCATCCTCACCATCCTTATCCTCATCATCATCATCATCATCCTCCTCATCCTCATCATCCTCCTCGTCCTCCTCCTCCTCCTCATCCTCATCATCCTCCTCATTCTCCTCCTCCTCATCCTCACCATCCTTATCCTCATCATCATCATCCTCCTCATCCTCATCATCCTCCTCGTCCTCCTCCTCCTCCTCATCATCCTCATCATTCTCCTCCTCCTCATCCTCACCATCCTTATCCTTATCCTCATCATCATCATCCTCCTCATCCTCATCATCCTCCTCGTCCTCCTCCTCCTCCTCATCCTCCTCATCCTCATCATCCTCCTCATTCTCCTCATTCTCCTCCTCCTCATCCTCACCATCCTTATCCTCATCATCATCATCCTCCTCATCCTCATCATCCTCCTCGTCCTCCTCCTCCTCCTCCTCATCCTCCTCCTCCTCATCATCCTCCTCGTTCTCCTCCTCCTCATCCTCACCATCCTTATCCTTATCCTTATCCTCATCATCATCATCCTCCTCATCCTCATCCTCATCCTCATCCTCATCTTCATCCTCATCCTCATCCTCATCCTCATCCTCCTCCTCCTCCTCATCCTCCTCATCATCATCATCCTCCTCCTCATCCTCATCATCCTCCTCGTCCTCCTCCTCCTCCTCATCCTCCTCATCCTCATCATCCTCCTCGTTCTCCTCCTCATCCTCACCATCCTTATCCTTATCCTCATCATCATCATCCTCCTCATCCTCATCCTCATCCTCATCATCCTCATCATCCTCCTCGTCCTCCTCATCCTCCTCATCCTCATCATCCTCCTCGTTCTCCTCCTCCTCATCCTCACCATCCTTATCCTTATCCTTATCCTCATCATCATCATCCTCCTCATCCTCATCCTCATCCTCATCCTCATCTTCATCCTCATCCTCATCCTCATCCTCATCCTCATCATCATCATCATCATCCTCCTCCTCCTCATCCTCATCATCCTCCTCGTCCTCCTCCTCCTCCTCCTCATCCTCCTCCTCCTCATCATCCTCCTCGTTCCCTCCTCATCCTCATCATCCTCATCATCCTCATCATCCTCATCATCCTCCTCCTCCTCATCCTCATCCTCATCTTCATCCTCATCCTCATCCTCATCCTCATCATCATCATCATCCTCCTCCTCATCCTCATCATCCTCCTCGTCCTCCTCCTCCTCCTCATCCTCCTCATCCTCATCATCCTCCTCGTTCTCCTCCTCGTTCTCCTCCTCCTCATCCTCACCATCCTTATCCTCATCATCATCATCCTCCTCATCCTCATCCTCATCCTCATCTTCATCCTCATCCTCATCCTCATCCTCATCCTCATCCTCATCCTCATCATCATCATCATCCTCATCATCATCCTCCTCCTCATCCTCATCATCCTCATCTCGTCCTCCTCCTCCTCATCCTCCTCATCCTCATCATCCTCCTCGTTCTTCTCCTCCTCATCCTCACCATCCTTATCCTTATCCTCATCATCATCATCCTCCTCATCCTCATCCTCATCCTCATCCTCATCATCATCATCATCCTCCTCCTCCTCATCCTCATCATCCTCCTCGTCCTCCTCCTCCTCATCCTCCTCCTCCTCATCCTCATCATCCTCCTCGTCCTCCTCCTCATCCTCATCATCCTCCTCCTCCTCATCCTCATCCTCATCCTCATCTTCATCCTCATCCTCATCCTCATCATCATCATCATCATCATCGTTTTCATTTTGAGCATCCTTATCATCATCCTGATTATGGAGCCTTGCTGGTAGAGTTGAGAGACTTCAAGCGTAGGGACTTGTGGGCCGTATCAAAGCTGGTTGTGTCTTTTCGTCTCTCTTCAATTGCTGGGGAGCGGGTCGAATGCCAAGGAGCTGCAAAAGCGCTTCTTCGCGCTTCAGACGGAGAAGAAGGCGTGAACAAAAATCACGGACACACTGCATGACATTACTTCACGTGTGTGCAACAACGGGTCTTTCACTACTTAAACTTTGAAGCCTTTAGTGAACTTGAACATGGGTCTTACATGGTCTTAATGCAGTTCTGTGCGAAAGCAGGAAAAATTGAGGCTGGGCCAAGAGAGACTTGAACTCAGTGAGTTCAGGGCAATGGAGAAGACATGCCAAGAAAATGCCAAGAAAATGAAACAGAGTTCCTATGATTTCTTATTCAAACTCTGATTCGAAATATTCCAAGTCCAAGTTTTGCATGTCTTCCATGTTTTGCATTTGTATGCATTTGTAAAGCGAATTAAAGCGAGAAGGAACATGCAATACCATGCATAGGATTGCGCCAACTTTGAGCCAACTTGTTCTTACCAAATAAACGTGTCAGCATTGTAACGCGTGCTTAACGCGTGCTTAACGCGTGTTTAATGCGTGCTGAACGCGTGCTTAACGCGTGCTTAACGGAAACATCTTGCGACGTACAGTCTGGATCACCAAGGTCCCGTGCGGGGCTATTTCGGTCGAGGCGGTGAGGAGCACCCGTCACGTGTTGCCAATGTCTATCGATGTCTATCGTCTTGCAACATGGACTCGAGATGTGTTAAGATAAGTCCTGTGCCTTTTTTGAGGACTTGGATCAGGTTTTGGAGAAGCAGGCACGTCGCATCATCGGCAGCACATCGCATGGCGAGGTTGAATCTTTCCATTCCGAAGGGGCTCAACTCGGTTCAACAGCGCAGTTTTGATCGCAGGTTGATGAAGCCAACGGCAAGGACTGAGTGTCACAGTCACTGCATGGTCGGCTGCAATCCAACTTTCATCATGTTTTCCTCCAGGATTCCATTCAAAAGTCTCGGAAGGACTGCAAGGAGGACAGCTGGCAGAAACTAAGATGAACTAAGATGTAGATTTAATATGATTCAATATGATTCAGGGTATAGATAGAAGTAGAATGGGATCTGCAGTGATCTGCCCCATCTCACTATGCAAGGCCCTGGATATGAATGGTGTACCTTGGGCCAAGCCCAAGGGAGGCTACATTGGAGAAATTTTCGGCCAGCCCGGCAGCCAGTGACTCCGAAACAGTTTTGCTACGATCACAAGACTGACATAGACTGACATAAGTTGTGACATAAGGCATCATAAGGCCAAATTTGGAAAACTGGAGCAACAAAACTGGAATCTGAACCACTTCAGTCTACATTTTGGTCCTCTAAATATTTCAATAAGCATTTAGACAGATATAATAAGTTATAATTTATATAATTTGTGAAATGCGTCCAACGTTTGCCCAGCGCCCCCTCTTTGGTGCCTGAGGCCCTCGCAGATGCCTTTTGAGGAGCCAACAGAGCAGAACATGCTTTCTAATGAAAGAAACACTTAACATCATTTTAATAATTTTGATATATTTTAATATACCCTAACTATCCTTAATTGCAAGGTCAAAGAAATGTCATACTACAGCAGAAATTAACTTACAGTACATGTCATTTTCCCACTCCGCTATGTTTAGCATAGGTCTGAAAAGGCACAGTTTGCTGCTCCTGGATTCCGTACCCTGTACTACCGTAATACCCGACGTCTCATTGATATGGATTTCCATGATTTCCTTAGGTGGAGACATGTGGTCAGTCATGTGGTTCAGCAATGTGACAACCACGACACATGAACAAGCTTTGCGACAAAGAGCTGAGGAGGATGTGCCTGGCTTCAAAGAGGTGATGGAGAGATATGCCAGAGTCTCAAACACGAGAATTGGCAGACCTCTATATTTGCCCAATGTAGTGATTTGTCACAACTGTGATTTGAGGTGTCATGCATTGCTTTGCTTGGCTTACAACATATTACAGCATCTTACAACATCTTACAACCATTACAAATCACAATGGTATGGACCCAAGGCCATGGAAATGTTCAAGCTATCGAAGAGGCTCAGAGAGATGTCATTGCAATGGTCCATGATTTCACTTCGTTCACTTCACAGTCTCGACCGTCTCATACATGCCATCCCCATGCCCGTGTCGAAGCGAGGCTGCTGCAGTTCATGGCCCTCATCCTGGGAAAACCCAAACATTTCTTCGACCAGTCACCTGGCTCAGTCGATCATCTTGTTGGATGGTTCATGGCCCCATGGCACACGATATCTTTACCATTCTTATCATTACACTTCGATAACTTCGATATTATAATTATATATATATATATACATATTTACATTTTTCACACATATCATATTTTCACATATTTTTACCCTTGCCATCCCTTAGCATCCCTTAGCATCCCTTGGCCATGTCATAGATGTTGAGAGACACTTTGCTGTGGACATTGCACCAAGGTTCCTTGATCAGCCTGCAGTGATCCCAGTTGCAACTGTGTCAACTCCACAATTTTGGACAGTTGGAGAGGCATATTTGAACCGTGCTTTATAAAGTGCTTCAGATCTAAGGATATTTGAAAGGTCTTAGGTATATTTGGAAATGGTTTCTGAATATCCTAAGACCAAGTGATATCCTTAGATCAGAAGGTCTTATATCTTAGGTATATATTGGTCCTTCTGAATCACAACCTGCTTTACCTAGTGATTCAGAAGGTGACGCTGGAACTGTAGCTTTTTTCATGCCATCGGCTCTGCTGAAATGTGCTCAGGTTGCTACCCACCGCTTACTTCATTACTGGCCAATCAAGGCTGGTGTTAACGAAAAGACAAAATATAATGAACAACTTATTGTGAACAAAATGTGAGAAGTTGTGGAGTGTGGCGGGGTGGGACAATAACGTTCAATTCAACTTGCGCATACGATGGAAGCTGCGCCGAGCAGTTTCGAAACAACATTTTGCAGTTTCACACTGTCAGTCTCACCATCTAAGTCTTACAAATTTCAAAACACAACCTCCAAGTTTCATAATTTCAGTATCAAAATACAACTGAAAAAAGTCAAAACATAACATTGTCCTAAAAGACAAAGGGAATCTGACATTCAGATACATTCAGATACATTCAGACAGGCTGTTGATGTATGTTTAATTCTGTTTATGTCATTTGTGATGAATTTTTGAAGGATTTCCAGAAGGAGATTGGTGTCGGAGAGCACACGGACTATGGTTTGCTGACCATTTTGAAGCAGGCCGGGCCGGGGAGACACAGCGAGACACGGCGAGACACGGCGAGACACGGCGAGTCATTTTGAAATCGCCATCCCGTTGTTCCCGTTTCCGTGAGGACATGGTGGGTGGACTCCAGGCGGGTGAAACGATGTGCCATACTAAATCTAAATATACCTAAATATGTAGCATTTAATAGCAGTCCAGCTTGCAGTGAAAACAAAGTAGTGAAAAGTCCGACTTTGGATCCTTTTGGAGTTGCAGATTTTGCAGGGTCGCAATTTCAATCCAACTTGGTGCGCTTGGGTTGTATGTAGGATTTCATAGGATTTCGAATGCATTTGCACATTGTGCCTGTGTGAAGTTGGTGTTTTCTGTCGCAAAGCTGACGGCTCTTCCTGTTCCAAATGTCAAAGCTGAGCCGGTGCTGAACATTTTCTGGGCAGCAGGCAATACATTGAGTGCATTTCATTTGTGAAACATCATGAAACATATGAAGAATTATCATGAAACATTATGAAACATGGAATAGCCTGGAAGAATCTGGAAGAATCTGAAACATAATATGGTGGTCTTAGTCACTGTCATGATGAGCGCTCTGTGCCACATTTATCCAGACTTACAAAAGTCGATTTCCTGATATATTATACACAGACACATTCTACTTGTACACATACGGTCCATTCATATGGTCATATGGTGTCACAACGGCACAGCAACCTGAAACCAGTGTTGCAGGCCAACATCACGGCCACAGCCATGCCGTTAGCCATGCCTCGAGCGAGACACGTCCAACACGTCCAACAGCTCCTTGGCATCTTGCTGATGTACACAAAGTTGATGCCCTTCATCATCCTCCTGCTGACGTGTTGTAGCTTTTTGATTGCCCTGACTTGGGATTTGATCTGGGGTGCAGAGCTCTTCCGAGAATGGGTTTTCTGGCTTTATGGGCATTGGGAGGACAGTTGCAATCAGCCAATTGGTCCATTGCAACAGTGGTTTTGGATCATTCTCTGGGTGAAGATCTTCGTGCTTGCTTCGTTGGCCAAGTGGAATGATGAGGGTGATCGCCCCTGGATGAAGAAGCTGTTCTGGTGTGTCTTGAACCCGTTGGCCATGATTTTCGACTTGGGCTGGCCCACAGTGACATTTATCTGTTTGTGCTATGCCCATGCCGACTGCAGCAAAATCCTGAGGCAAAGCTGCTGGCTGTTGCTCACACCTTACCTCCTGCAAGTCTTTGTCGCTCTCTTTGCTGTGACCTGGCCACATGTGAAACGCCGGCGACTTCCGAATGATCCAGCGAATCTGCTCCGAGACTTTCATTTGCGGCTTGTCCCAGCGAAACACTGCGACAGCTGTTCAATTTGTCTCGCAGATATCCTTGACAATCAAAGCGTCGTGGTGCCATGCGAGAACGAGCAGCACGTCTTCCATAGCGCATGCTTGGCTGGTTGGCTTCAAACCTCACAGTCGCGTCCCACTTGTCCCTTATGTCGCAATGTCCTCAAACGCAAAAGGCGAATTGGATCTCAGACTCAGACGGAGACGACCACGGGCACATCCATGGGCACGTCCATGGGCACGTCGATGCTTTGAATATCAATGCATGTCGTGACACATTGCTTAATGCCTGAAGCATGATGCTTCAGCAGATCCTTTGCAGCGGAAGACAGAAAATTGCACAAGAGTTCAAGCTGGTTCATAAGGTGATTTAAGCATCTTTAAGGATCTTTAAGCATGCAATGCTGCAATTCAGATCAATGAACTCATACCAATTTTGTTTGTGCCACACCATGCTATGACATGCTATACTTTTGTGGTTTGTTGAATGTTATTTCACTGGTTCTGGGCTCCTCCAAAGGAAGGACAAAACTGGGTCTCGTCACAAAATGGAGATCTCCCAACGTTCAGCATATAGGCATCAAAGTGCAATAAAGTGCACATAGGTTAGTGTCGGGATGGATTGGTGGCTGGATCATGCAATGAGACCGAACATGTCCGTGTAGGAAAGCAACCAGGATTCTGATGGATTCTGCAGTGTTGCTCATTGTGATTCCAAGTGATTGAATCGTGGAGATTTCGATCGCTGGATCATTTGGTTTCGTTTGAGATTCAGACTCCATGTCCAAATCATTCCAAGCGCTGTATCAAATCGAGTCAAAACGCACGGGCAGGTCCTGAATGCCAAAGATGGCGTTTGGATCCACTGCTGCCCAGAGATAGCCTTAGATCATCTCTGAGTCCATGCGTGATGTCAGTACTCAGTTTTTCACGAGCGGTGATATCAGTACCTCCTTGTTATCTATATAAGGTCTTTTCTTTTATTTTCTTTTAAGGGATGTGACTTCATATGACTTCCCTGGCATCCAAATCAGGTTGAGAATGCCTATGTCATCAATCTTGGGGACATGCTTGGCAGATGGACTGCGCATCGATTTAAGCGCGGGGCACCAGATTTCTCATGATTTCTCAGTTGTCCTCTGCTGGTCTTTCTAGAATAATTTGTCACAGATAAATTGTCCGAAACCGGACGAGTCCAGAGTGGATGGATTCACAGCATCGTCGCATCGTCGAATCGTGACTGAAATCATCTGAAATCTCGCCCTCTCAAGGAACTTGCTGTGAATGCCTTGACAGACCGCCTCATTTGCGATTACTTGACGTGCCAATCGTGCCAAACGCCATGCAACAACTCACAAGTCAAAAGAAAGGACTTCCCGGAAGCATTTGGTGCAAGGCTTTCCTAGACAAAGTCTGACTGCGGGATGTTGCTTTGTTTCAGAAGAAATCTCGACCATAAGCAAAGGTTTTCCAAGATAAATGTCGCAGACTTAACCATTTTACCACCCCACAAAGGTCTCAAAGGTCTCATGTTTCTCGACATGCTGAATCCATTGGTGTGACGCTCATGGATGAACCTCCGCCACCCCCAGCTGCGGTGGGTGCTGAAGCAACCTATGAGCGGCTTGCTACTCTGGCCCCTGTCTGTGGTGACTTTGCTGAGCTTTGATCTAAATCATTCTAAATCCATGTTCACATCAGTTGTCATCATTGTCATTTCATGTCATTTCTCATTTACAAGCATCAATAAGATACCAGATACACCCAAAGAGATTAGGTAAAACAACCAGACCAAGCAGATTCAGGTCGATTCAGGTCGATTCAGGCGGCATGGCATTGCTGAGGTTCGTGCCTGGAGCCGTTGGTCAGTGGATTCTTACAGGATCCAGCCTTTCGGCAGGAGCTCCAGGAGAATTTCGATCGATCTCGCGTTGGAAAATCAGAAAACCACAGTAACGGATATGGCGTTACTATGGCGTTACATGATGTGAAATACACATTTTTTACAGTATTACAATTTGATACAGTTTGTTACATGTCTATACCGTGGAAGCCACTGCCGATATTCGGCCTCTCCAACCAGCATTTGTTTGCTGTAATGTATTTGTTTAAACATATAGATTTGACCGGTTTGAAATCATTCCTCCAAGTTTTGTGGATATTTTACACTTGAGATCTGGAACATGTGACACATTGTGACACCTATAGCGTATAGAATGCCTATAGTCACCTCCGCTACTGGAAGGACTTCATCGTTGCGCGAGCGCCAGCCTTCCTCGAACTTTGTGAAGATGGGAGCTATCCTATGGCCTTCCGGCCTGAGATTGAGCCAGATCCGGTATGGAAGTCTTTGATCGTCTTTGATCGTTTTTGATCTTTGATTCAAAATGATGCAAATGTAGGGTTCTGGGGTATTCCACTAAGAATTAGCGGTTTTGCATTTCCAGTTGACCTGGCATTCGCAAGCTGCCTTCTTGGCCATGTTTGCGGCAATCTCGAAAACAACTTTCGACAGCCATTCCAAAGAGTGGTGGATCATTGGCAGGCTTGGACATCATACCACAATGAGTACCGATCCATTTTTGAGCGCCAGATGCAGAGTCTTGGTTCTGCACGAGTCCTTTCTAGCTGGGTGCATCCTTGATAGACACAGCAAGGATGACCAATGGGATCTGTTTTTTTTTTGGATCAAGGACAACTAGGAAATATGATGAAATATGTACACATGTCGTTTGTGAAAGCTGAGGAAAATCCTGCAGTCTCTGGACATGACTGAGTCAGAGTTGAGTGAACTTTGCCTTTGGCTTCGAAATGAATTTGAGTCTTGTTTGCAGCCACGAGTTGGGGGCCGGAATAATTGGCATTATTCTGTCATCCAAGACTCTTTCATTTTTCAAAAAATTGAGTTTCGCCCACAATTTTCAGTGCATCTGCGATGTCTCGTTTGTACTGTGCAGCTGAGGGACATGGTTTTCAGGAGGATGATGGTTTGAACGCTTTCTTGCAAGCTGTGACCGCGAGTGCCATGATTCAAAATAGCGCAAGCACGCTCATATCACACGCTTTGCAAAAGGTTTGGACTGGTTGGTGAAACACGCCAGTGTTTGTGAGGTGAAGTCTACGAAAACTTCCTGTCGGTGATGTTTTCAGAGGCCAAGCCAGACCTTCACAGATCTCCACCCTGCAAAAGTTTTCTCAGAACGGCATTGTCTTGATCCACTTGTTTCGTCCGAGGATTTTTTCCGAGGCATTTATTTTGGCAAAGACTCGATCAACTGAAATCCAAATCGACTTGCAAACCGTTGCTTCCTAGATGCCTTGAAATGCCTTGAATATCTTCACAGTGTCTTCATATTGTCAAGCAAGCAATGGTTGTAATATGTTGGAGTGAAAACACGGCGAAAACTCGTGTGAGTTTTCTCATGTTTTCTCTCTGAGTCCTGGCGGTATCTGGCGGTCAGGTGTCGCGTCAAGCTGGTGAGACCGTAGAGGTTGTGGTACCGCCGGATTTGAGCCCTGGCGACCCCTTTCAGGTGCAGATGGTGCAGGATTGAACAGTTTCAAAATGTTTCAAAGCAATGCTGGAATTGTCCGGAGTCCTCTGAGAATGTAAACATTGACATAACATGTCCATTGTCAAACTTACTGGATGTTCCAGTCCGCTTGATTCCGCTTGATTGCACTTGATAAAAACAATGAACAACATATTGGTATGTATGTGCCTCAAACCAACTTCAACTTTCAAGTTTTCAACCTTTTGGCACAGGTGAACTACCTGGGAGTGCGCTACGACCTACATGTACCGGAGAACCTTCAAGCTGGTGACACCTTTCATGTGTCCGTATCTCTCCCTCCTAAACTAGCCACTTGGCATGTCAAGAAACATGTCAAGAACATGCTTGATATTTCTTGTGTCTCTGAGGCAAAAGCGAAAGGCATGAAGATTGGGATGGGTAATGATGGGCAGCTTCATCATTTTTGAGATTTTTGTTAGTTCTGTGACTTCTTGGACCAACTCACAAGGTGTGCCTTTGGGAGTTTATGCAGGATCAGAAGGATACTTATAACATCTTATAACTGTTACGGATAGTGTTGAACGATAGTTGAAGCATGGCAAGAAGCATGGCAAGAGCCTTCAAAACGTGCTTGGCAGTGTTCAGCTCGTCCTGCCGAGGACCTGGTGTCGCTGTTTGCTGTGCCTGACTCCTTCTATGGCCTCGACTGAGGCTGACGCAGATGCATCCGGAATGCGCACGGGGAGAGTTTTGGGCAAGGTCGTAACAAAGCATAACAAAGCATAACAAAGCGTAACAAAGCGTAATGCATGAACAATCATGAACAATCATGAACAAACATGAACATACACCAGCTACGTATCACTATGTATCACTACATCATATATGTCTGGAGTGTTTTACTCCACAATATGACACGTTCAGCGAATGGCATGTACTTGAGATGTTTATTTCATTGTAATATAATGACATGTCCCGACTTCATTTGTGTACGAAGTGTATGATCAACCTTGGCTGCCGGCAAACTTGGAGCAAACACTAAGGGCAGGCCATTGCTCAAAGCTTCCTGGTTTTGAAACAGGAAGGACGATTCACCATGATTCAGAATGATTCGCCATGATTCACTAAATCCCTGGCAAAGTTCAGGCTGCATGGTGAGAAATCAAAGCTGTTGTAGACAGCCGCATGCGGTCTGAAAATAAGGCATCATCGAGCCCGTAAGTCCAGGCATTTCAAATTTTCAGGTGACGATGTCAGAAGTAGCCATGATTCACAACATTTTGTGACAAAGCCATGTCCAATGTCTTGAGTTTTGACGATGCTGAGGTCCACTGTGCACCGTGTTGTCACAACCAGTGTTCCCTTCCCAGTTCTGTGCAGAGTCTGTGCAGAGTGCCATCACTTTGGCCCCGTCTCAGCTTTGTGCCGCGCTGCCGCGCTTAGGACACAGATAGATACTCAGTGCCATACTTCCTGGAGCCAAACCTGGACACAATCATTGCGTACCTTAGCAGCCGTAGCATCTGCCCTTTGAGCTTTCTATGGCAGATATGTCAGCCCGTAAATTGTGGATATTTGTGGATGACAGATGATTACAAAAGTGATTACAGTAAAGAACAGGACCCCTGGCTGGGTTTGCTTCTACTTTTTATTACGCTGTACATCGCTGCACTATACATATAATATATAATAATATATATATATATAATTATACACAATAATATATATATATATATGTATATAATTATACGCATTATATTCATTTACATTCAATGTTTACCAATGTCTACTATTGTCTGCTGATGTTTGCCATACCGATCTATTCCTGCTGTTCTTTCAACCAGGTACGGAGGCCTTTGCTCCGGACCTGGCTCCAGTCAGGGCCCTCAGTGCAATCATTTTTCAATTCTAAGACCGAACCATGAACGATAGCATTCATCTTTTAAGATGCTTGGGTTTTGTTCACCAATATTTTCGACAGGCTTCGAGGTTTCAACATGTTTCAACAATCCACGAGTTGTTTTTTTGGTGAAACCATGAGCCACTTTGAACCATCCCATGAATCCATTATGAATCCCATGTTTTTTTTCCTGAGGCTCCTCCAAGCCGCAGCCTCAGGGGTAGACATCATCAGGGGTAGACATTTTGGCGACAGTTTATTGGGCAGCTTCGCTGAAATGAGGTTTGAGCCGCCTTCACGTGAGGAGGTCCACTCTACTTGTGGGACACACACACACACATATCCTTTGAATCAAGAACTTGCACTGGTTGGAACCTGGTTCGAATCTTAAAATATCTTGAAATCAGTCTTCGAGACTCATCAGTGAACTGCACCATACTGCATCGAGACTGGAGTCTTCTCGTGCTTTGTCCATGTGCTCGGTTTATCCTGGTTTACCCTCTGGTAATTTAACATAGCTATGGAAAATCACCATTTTTAATGGGAAAATCCACTATATATGGTCATTTTTAATAGCTATGTTAAATTACCAGAGGGTATCTAACTTCATGTCTGTGAAACTTGGAGGACTCTGCAGGTGCCATCTTGGAGCGTTTCTACAGGGTGCCTTGGCAGATGACAGTGAGATTGGTCCGACTGTAGAAACGATGTAGAAACGCCTTCCGCAGTGCGGCTGGGCAAGTCGATTCCTAAAAACATGTCAACACACCAATATTGAAATCTGTGAAATCCTCTGAAAACTGTCCTGTATTCTTCCCATTCTTCCCACATTCCACATGAAATTCCGCATTTTTCATGTCCTGGCAGCCTGGCAGAGTGAAATCGCAATGTCCTGAGGCCTCAGGACAACTTCGGACGCCGCCAGGACTGCGGCTGCGAATAGCCGAGAAGTTGGGCACATTAACCCATATATATATATTATAATATAATATAATGGAATATAATATAAAATAATATAAAATAGAATCATTAGAACCCACCAACATTATCCAACATTGTCGTCTTAGAATATCGATACAACCATTGATCATGGAACATGAAGACTGGATGGTAGATACGCCTTTTGATGATTTTTGATTCAAGTGTTGCTTCAACTGCAGCTCGAATCTGACTCGAGGTGTCCTAGTTCTGCTGGCTTTGTGTCATTTTACTTAACAGGGAACCGTGAAATTTGTCTACCACGTTGCAACCGTTCTGGTGGTGTTTCCCACCTCTGTTCTACTTGTTTCAAAACATTGCATGGTGCAATTCTCGATGTGTCACTTTGCCAAATTGCTGCAATCTATACAGCAGATTCAAACAGAATAATATTGCCTTCGCTGGTTGCAGCGTTGCTACTTACAAGATTGCCGTGTGGGCCTTGAGTTTCCTTCAGGTTTCACGTGCATATTTCCCTGTGACGTCTGTAGTGATTCTTTTGATTGGAGCATATTGGAGCCTCTTGCCTCCTGCAGGCACCAAGTGACTTTTGATTGGAATGCGTCCGACGTCTTGTGGCCCGGCAGAGCTGTGAATGGGCAAGAGGTAAGAAGAGGTAAGAGGCCAAGATGAATTGACTGTGAAGGTTCATGAAGGTTCTCCAGCAATATGCTTGGTTGAAGCTGAACTCTATTGCTTCATGCTGCCATTTGATAGATTAATCCAACGATGATCTACACATACACACACACACACAGGTTTTTGGATTGACTAGTGACTAGAGCTTTGATCAATGCCTTCCGAGTGTCGTTGCAGCCCTTTGCTACCGCCAAATGCGGCCAGTTTTGTTTTCTTTTTCCACAACAAAAAGCGTTTGCAGCTCTGCAAGGATTTTTGACACCTCCAAAAGGAGATTTTCCAAGAGGATTGGCAACAAAAGGTGCCTCGGAGCATCTCGATGCACATTCGATGCACATAGGGGTGATGCCAATCGTTTTCTCCACAGACATATGGGTACCCATATGGTATCGTTTGTGAACGGTGCGGCAACTTGGCATCCCTTAAAATACTCGATGAGACGCAGAGGCGCGCTGTGTTCCGGAGGAACTTCTTAGCTCCAGTCGTAGCGTGCTTTTCGATCTGGGACCTTTGCCTGTAGGTGGACGATGGTGGATGATTGGACGGTTTCTCTTTGTTTTTTTTTATGTTTCAAATGTTTTCTTGCAGCCAAAAAGATTCAAAAAGACTGGGGGTCAGTGACTAAGAGCTCTTGGTTTGAGAGACTTTCCTGTTTTTGTCAGGATGCAGACAATGACGCACAGCTCAAGAAGTATCATCACTTGTTCCTACAAGACCTGTTCTTTTAAGCAAGAGAATCAGCTCAAGCAGAACATATCAACGCATAGAATTTCTGCAAGACCAATCTGACTAATCCATTTGTTTTCCGCCGATTTTTCATTGGGTTCCACTCTTGCTAGGGTGCCTCGTTCTCACTTTTGCTGGCAAAGCAGGTGGTCATCCGCAGGTGATACTTGTAGATGATGTAAATGCCGAGGCTTCGAAGTTCAAAACGCTTGCTGATCACTTGCCTTTTGAATCCTTTTGACCTGCGATGACATCGACCAACAATCTCTTCGCTTACACATCAAGATCCATCCCTCTCTGTCCTGCAGATTGTACAGCCGGGTTGGATACGGCCGAATATGGACTTCAAGCTGCAACAACTGGAGGGGGACATCCGTACCAGCGGAGAGTCTCCTTCCAGAAAGTCATGTCGAAATCAACCTGTTGTTTGTTTTCATAGGACTGCGCCCTGACTTTTGAAGAGAGGCATGTGAAAGTCGTGAACTATCGTGAACTCATGTTTCGCAGCTGAAGACCCACATCTTGTGACACACGTTGTCTCGTTTCAGGCTTATACTTCCACACCTTGTGCAGTACGTGAGAAAAAGTGCCCCTGGCGCAGCCTCATGTTGCGTATTGTGTGTATTTGTTAGGAATTGTTAGGAGAGGGCTTCAAATTGCCAATTTGTGATACGTTCCCGTGACTTTGTCTCAGAGGATGATTTAATAAACAGTTACCATGTCAAAAGGGTGAGAAAGGATACACTTTCCAGCACTGTACTGCCTATACACTACACCGGCAGCTCCCAACTGGCGTTTCCCCACTAGCTTCATCGCTTCCAATCACATGGCAGCTTCACAAAGCTATATGAAACTACAATACATCAGCATACATCAGCATACTCTGACAATCATCTCCTTGAGTCTTAGATTGCCACGGTTAAGTATGTAGCATTTGGAGCATCAGATGTCACAGATGTTTCCCTAATGGATGGAACACAGACATCTGCGTTTAGTGGATCTCAGCTGTCACCATGGCGTCCATCGTCTCAGTGCCACGAGGCTCAGTTGACCGTTGGGGATCCATGAATCTCTGACACTGAAATCTCTGGAACAAATCTGGAACAGAATCAAAACAGTATCTATTGAATCTATTGCCTTTTCGAAGCAAAAATCTATGTTTTGATCCATTTTGATCCATTTTGATCCATTTTGATCCATTTTGAACATGGCAGGCGCAGCCTCACCACAGCGTCAACCCTTGGAGAGGCTGCTCGATCGTCGGATGCAATCCGTATGGCTGCCATGTTACTGTGGAAACATGTGGAAACAACGTCAGGCGGTTTCTGATCCATTCTGATCCATTCTGCCATTTTGCCACGAGACTGTGCCAGGTCTCCACTTTTGTCTCCTCAGCTGCCAGTGTGGGTTTCACTGGCCAAACAGCCAGAGAAACACGGCTTTAGCCTGAGTTTCCTGTTGCTTTCTGAATATTGACAAACAGAATCAGACTTCCCGAAACATGCAGAAACTCATGAACCATTTTAAAT